TGGGTTCTTGCCCCTGGGTTCATTTGACATTTGTGATCCCATAAATACTTGTGAACATTACTTTAAAGCCCACTTTCTGTGATTTCTGTCTACGACTCTTCCTCTGCCTTCCTCCTCAGTGTGGGAGGTGTCCAGTGATCATGGGTTTGGGGAACTAGATATACGCTAAGTTGTTGTTGTTGTTTTAGATTCAGCTACTGAGAACAAATGCCAAGTAGCACGGGCTATGATGAGCCCGTAGTGAACTTACCTGGCACAGGAGCGGTGTTGTGTATATATACGCTAAGGCTGTAACAAGGATTTATGCTCAAGGATCACAAGGAACGGAGGCTCTTCGATAATTATAACAAATAAACAAGTAATGTTAATTGCTAGAAACTTGACAAAGGAAAGCCAATAAATGTGTGAGAGAGGTGGGTGGGCAGGCTATTCTAGACCACAGGGAGGGATGTAGGAGAGCAGGGACAGCTCTAGTCAGCACCGCTCCTGTGCCAGGTAAGTCCACTACGGGCTCACCATAGCCCGTGCTACATGGAACTTGTTCCGAGTAGCTAAATCTATAACAACAACAGCCCCAGTCGCCAGATACAAGAGTCTTGTGAGGGGTGAGGAGCTCCCATGTGTACCCAAGTGTGGAAGCAAGACGACAGGAGGCGCTGGAGTGCTGAGATTATTTACGGATGGTGGATATAATGGGTAGGAAGCTGGAGAGTTGTGTGGGAGAGTTGTAGTCTAGTGGAGAGTGTGTGGGAGAGTTGTAGCCTAGTGGAGAATTGTGTGGGAGAGTTATAGTCTAGTGGGGAGTGTGTGGGAGAGTTGTAGCCTAGTGGAGAGTGTGTGGGAGAGTTGTAGTCTAGTGGGGAGTGTGTGGGAGAGTAGTAGCCTAGTGGGGAGTGTGTGGGAGAGTAGTAGCCTAGTGGGGAGTGTGTGGGAGAGTAGTAGTCTAGTGGAGAGTGTGTGGGAGAGTAGTAGTCTAGTGGGGAGTGTGTGGGAGAGTAGTAGCCTAGTGGGGAGTGTGTGGGAGAGTAGTAGTCTAGTGGAGAGTGTGTGGGAGAGTAGTAGCCTAGTGGGGAGTGTGTGGGAGAGTAGTAGCCTAGTGGAGAGTGTGTGGGAGAGTAGAAGCCTAATGGTGTGAAGGTGGTTGATCTGGGTCTCATCATTGTTGCGGTCACTCACTGTGTCAACCGAGCGGAACGTGTATATGCCTCTAGTCTCAGAGCTACGTGTACAGTACTGTATACACGTCTATAGTCTCAGAGGAACATGTATATACGTCTATAGTCTCAGGAACATGTATATACGTCTATAGTCTCAGAGGAACATGTATATACGTCTATAGTCTCAGGAACATGTATATACGTCTATAGTCTCAGAGGAACATGTATATACGTCTATAGTCTCAGGAACATGTATATACGTCTATAGTCTCAGAGGAACATGTATATACGTCTATAGTCTCAGGAACATGTATATACGTCTATAGTCTCAGAGGAACATGTATATACGTCTATAGTCTCAGGAACATGTATACACGTCTATAATCTTAGAGGAACATGTATACACGTCTATAGTCTCAGAGGAACATGTATATACGTCTATAGTCTCAGGAACATGTATATACGTCTATAGTCTCAGAGGAACATGTATACACGTCTATAGTCTCAGGAACATGTATACACGTCTATAATCTCAGAGGAACATGTATACACGTCTATAGTCTCAGAGGAACATGTATATACGTCTATAGTCTCAGAGGAACATGTATACACGTCTATAGTCTCAGAGGAACATGTATATACGTCTATAGTCTCAGAGGAACATGTATATACGTCTATAGTCTCAGGAACATGTATACACGTCTATAGTCTCAGAGGAACATGTATATACGTCTATAGTCTCAGGAACATGTATACACGTCTATAATCTTAGAGGAACATGTATACACGTCTATAGTCTCAGAGGAACATGTATATACGTCTATAGTCTCAGAGGAACATGTATACACGTCTATAGTCTCAGAGGAACATGTATACACGTCTATAGTCTCAGAGGAACATGTATATACGTCTATAGTCTCAGAGGAACATGTATATACGTCTATAGTCTCAGGAACATGTATATACGTCTATAGTCTCAGAGGAACATGTATATACGTCTATAGTCTCAGGAACATGTATATACGTCTATAGTCTCAGAGGAACATGTATATACGTCTATAGTCTCAGGAACATGTATATACGTCTATAGTCTCAGAGGAACATGTATATACGTCTATAGTCTCAGGAACATGTATATACGTCTATAGTCTCAGAGGAACATGTATATACGTCTATAGTCTCAGGAACATGTATACACGTCTATAATCTTAGAGGAACATGTATACACGTCTATAGTCTCAGAGGAACATGTATATACGTCTATAGTCTCAGGAACATGTATATACGTCTATAGTCTCAGAGGAACATGTATACACGTCTATAGTCTCAGGAACATGTATACACGTCTATAATCTCAGAGGAACATGTATACACGTCTATAGTCTCAGAGGAACATGTATATACGTCTATAGTCTCAGAGGAACATGTATACACGTCTATAGTCTCAGAGGAACATGTATATACGTCTATAGTCTCAGAGGAACATGTATATACGTCTATAGTCTCAGGAACATGTATACACGTCTATAGTCTCAGAGGAACATGTATATACGTCTATAGTCTCAGGAACATGTATACACGTCTATAATCTTAGAGGAACATGTATACACGTCTATAGTCTCAGAGGAACATGTATATACGTCTATAGTCTCAGAGGAACATGTATACACGTCTATAGTCTCAGAGGAACATGTATACACGTCTATAGTCTCAGAGGAACATGTATATACGTCTATAATCTCAGAGGAACATGTATATATATCTATAGACTCAGAGGAACATGTATATACGTCTATAGTCTCAGAGGAACATGTATATACGTATATATTTTCTCAGAGATACAAGCATCTTACAGGCCCTGTTACTGACGGGATAATTACAGCCAGACCAACTGATCTGTACAGTGTAGACTGAACATGTACAGTGTTCAATGTTCTCGACTCACAACCGGGGATCCCGAGCGAAGAGAAATGGTTAGACACGTTTCCTTTCACCTGATATTTCTGTCTACTTAACAGTACTGTAAACAGATACCCCCAACTCATTCCGTCGCCTCCCCTCCTCTCCCTATGTTCCCAACTCGTAATCAAAGATCATAGGGTTCTGTCCAAGGACGGGACAGAAATAGTTGGGGATGTTTCTAACAGTACATAGGCACCCGTGAGTTAGGCAAATGCTGTCGTTTGCATCCTGGGACAGGTGGTGTAGATCGGCCTGAGGGTATCTTGATAATAAGGTCAAGATAATAAGGTATCTTGATAATAAGGTCAAGATAAGGTCAGATAGGCATCCTATCTGCGACAACAGGAAATATACCATTAAACACTTTCGAACAGAAAGATCCTTTGTAACAAATCTACTTAGTTTTTGTGATCAAGTCACTTTTTTATTATTATTATTATTAACAAGCTTAGGTATACGGAGCAATGTACTGCTACCCAATTCTATATGAAAGATTACACAGTGTAGATCAAAAACTAGCTATAAGTTCATCAAATATTCCCATCTCACAGGATGGTTAGTCATACATGGAATCAGGGGAGAAGATACCTGCTCCGATACAACAACAAATCAACTCTGACTGAAAATCAGGGGAGAACATAAAATGTAAGGCTGATCTATTAGCCCCCACTACCAAAATCTGGGTACAGCACAAGAATATTTTCCAATATTCCTGAGTGTATGAAGTAATTACAGAGCTCTTGTTTGTCAACCAAATCCTCCTCTGCCCATGTCTTGCTTGCTGGTGGACTGTAGGCTGGTGTACACACCTAGTATACACTAGGTGTGTACTAGTACACACCCAGGTAAGTCCGCTACGGGCTCACCATAGCCCGTGCTATTTGCCCCGCTTCTGTGCCAGGTAAGCTACGGGCTCACCATAGCCCGTGCTATTTGCCCCGCTTCTGTGCCAGGTAAGCTACGGACTCACCATAGCTCGTGCTACTTGGAACTTGTTCCGAGTAGCTGAATCTATAACAACAACAACAACAGTCCCAGTCAAAGAGCCATATTGTTGAGATATGGCTCTTTGGTCCCATCTCTCAGCTGTCAATCAACTGGTGTACAGGGTCCCGAACCTATTGGGCTCTATCATACCTACATTTGAAACTGTGTATGGAGTCTGCCTCCAACACATCACTACATAGTGCATTCTGTATGTTAACTACCCTAACACTTAAAAAATTCTTTCTAGTGTCTCTGTGGCTCATTTGACTACTAAGGTTCTACCTATGTCCCCTTGTTTGTGTTCTGCCTATGCTAAATAGTTTGTCTTTGTCCACCCTGTCAATTCCTGAGAATTTTGTAGGTGGTGATCATGTCTTCCCTAATGCTTATGACTTCCAGGGACGTGAGGTTTAATTCCCATAGCCTTTCCTCGTAAATCATACCTCTTGGCTCTGGGACTAGTCTGGTGGCATACCTCTGAATCTTCTCTAACTTTGTGTGTTAAATGTGGTGTAGTGTGTTTGGTGAATCTAACTAGCTTTGGTGTGTATGTGTATTCGTGTGAGTATTAGTGTGTGTACCAAAATTACTGTTGGCGTGTCAGTGAATATACCATAAATGAGTAAGTTCTCTACATATAATGTAATTGCAACTATAATAGTGTCCTGTCAACCTATTCTATATGAGGAGTACAGAGTACAGTATAGGTTAAAAGCTAGTTGAAAGTTCATCATATATACTCATTTCAAGCAGTAGTTAGTCACACATGGGATGAGTTCAATTTCCTAAATTGTTATTTTGAGAAAATAAAAAAACTAACATTTATATATTTATGAGTAGATAACTATAACTAAGCATTGTGTAAAATTATAAGATAAGGTGTTTTTTCCATAGGGCTAGTGATGGTGGCAGACGTGGAGAACCAGCAGAAAACGCCACTCATGTCTGCTCTGGAGATGCAAGAATTGAAAGCAGATGATGTCAATGCTCTGCTTAAACGTGATGAAGAAGAAGGTGTGCGTAATTTGGTGCAGAAATGGGGTGCAAACTCTGTGTGGCGACCTCGGCTTAATGCAGAACAATCAGCACTTATTACAACATCACTCCACGTTGCTGCCAAAGAAGGAGCCCTCAAATGTTTGAGGGTTTTACTAGATGCAAACCCACCTAAAGAAGTCCTTGATGCTCCAGACCAAGATGGGACAACACCACTTATGGTGGCAGTGGCAGAAGCACGCCCTAGAGTTGCCGAGATGCTTCTTAAGGCTGGAGCCCATATTAATGCTCGCAATAACAAAGGTCAGACTGTGCTGCATATCTTGACCAACATTACAGCAAAAGGAGCTAAGTCTGATGAAATCTTGCAAGAGCTGCTAGACTTACTTTTATCTCACTCAGACATTGACTTGGAGCCTCATGAAGTGCTCACACCATTAGCACTAGCTGCCTCAAAGTTGCCTCAGGGTAATGGAGATTCTAGAACTGGTGGTCTTATCAGCTTATGCAGAAAACTAGTGAAAGCAGGTGCTTCTCTTCAGGAAGATGGTGGAGATGGCTCTATTGAGGAAATTCTACACCAAAAGCAGGCCTTTCATGCAGTCCTGATGGGTGGTGAACGAATGTCTGCTCCTAAAAGACCTGCAAGATCACAATTCCTGGATATGATATTAATGGGGAAAGGTAGTGAGGATATAAAGATATTCCTTGAAAATCAGTCAGATGAAGAGAGACATGCTGCAGCTAACTGTAGGTTTGGACAACAAACTCTTCTTTTCCGTGCTGTAGACTTAAAGAATGAAGATTTAGTACAAGTTTTAATCAAATTTGGTGCAAACCCTTGGGCACTTGGAGCAAGAAATGAACTTCCCATTCATCGAGCAGCTTCTCGAGGTCATGTGTCTATTTTCAATCATATCATTGATAAAATGAAAGGTGGCACTAAACCAGTCGATTTTCAGGATTACACCTTCAGTATTATCCAGAAACTAATGGAAAGTGATAAGAAACAGAAGAACATTCATCCTGATATCAGTCATTCAAAATGTTTGCAGAGACTGATGCAAGATGATGTTATCTTGAACATCAATCAGGAATACATGGGTCAAACTGCACTGCATGTAGCTGCTTCCTTCAACAACCAGGAGGCTATGAGTGAGCTCCTGTGCAAAGGGGCTTTCCTTGGTGCACATAGTACACTACCAGGCAATCACCATTCCAGTATTCTGGACTCACTCTTGCCAGCAACTTTAGAAAGAGCCATGAATGGCTGTATCAAACACCACCCGGCAAATAATGAGATTTCTGAGTCTAACAATGTTCTCAGTGAAGACTACATGCTGAAACTTGATTACAGGTTCCTTGTGCCTCCAGCAGATGATAGCTTAAAGAAAGAGCAGAAGAGTATAAATGAGACAGAAACGTTAATGGACATTAGTAGGAGCAAACGACACAGACATGCTATAAAACATCCACTTGTACAAATCCTCTTATATGCAAAGTGGCGCAAGGCTCTGCCTCTTTATCTTCTCAATTTAGGAATTTACTTCTTTTTTGTCATTCTTCTCACAGCATTTGTTTACAGTATAAAAGACTTACGCATACTTGAAGCACAAGCCGAGAGTTATCTTAATTCTGGATCATCCAATAGAACCATAGATGATCTTAATTCTGGATCATCCAATAAAACCATAGATGAAAGAATTGAAAATAAGCAAGTTACTGTGAACGTCCTAATGGCTTTCCTCCTTCCGATCACAATATACATATTCATCAGAGAGGTTTTCCAGATTGTGTTCTCCCGGGATGTTTACCTCAAGAACATCGAAAATTACTTGGAATGGTTCTTAGTGGTGGTGGTAATAGTGCTTTGCTCAACAAATCTTGCTGCAGACGTCACCCGACACCTTGCTGCTTGGGCTATGATTGTTGCTTGGTAAGTTCCCTCCATATATCCACCATGCATCTGCAGTACCAATACCATTGCTGTCCTCAAACTGAAAACATAATTTATAGCACTAACTTCTATGCTTTAGCTCTAAATAAGAAATAAATACAGCATTGTGTTTAAAAAAATATAAAACAGAATAAATTTATTAATCCTAATGGAATGTGAAACTACATAGTAGCAAATTATTGTTTTGTCATATTTCACAGGTATGAGTTTGTGCTGATCCTTGGGCGGGCGCCTCCCCTCGCCATCTACATCACGATGCTCCGCCACGTGTCGTGGAACTTCCTCAAGTTGATTTTCCTGTATGGTGCTCTCCTCCTGGCCTTCACCATCAGCTTCAACATTATCTTACAGCCGGCTCCTGCTGATGAGGTACAGCTGGTTTGCCTCTAAGCTTAAATACTCAACTCTTTTATGCTATCAACATCACTAATGAGGCTTAAAAATTTTATTGACTGATACAAATCCTTGGGCACTTGGTTAACTTACGGCAATATCATACTGTAGTGTGTTTGATACATTCCACCATAAACAATAAGACCAGTTTTGTTGACAGGACACAGACTTCCGTGACTTTTGGTCAACTCTTCCCAAGGCGATAGTAATGGCAACTGGAGAATTTGAGTACTCTGATTTAAGCCAGCACTTCTCTCGCAGGATTGTCTTCTTCACATCAGCCCTACTAGTCTTTCTCCTCTTCTTGTTCCTTATCTTCCTCGTCCTCATGAATGTCATGAATGGACTGGCAGTCACAGACACTCAGGTATGTTCACCGTTGGTCTATTTTAAAATAATAATAATAATAATAATAATAATAATAATAATAATAATAATAATAATAATAATAATAATAATAATATAAATAAAAATGAAAATGTTCGTTTGTGCATAACCGCTAATCTCCGAAAGTTCTTTACCGATTGCTTTGAAATTTTCACACTTTCCATTCGCATCCGAGCAGGTTTTTATATACATAATATATAGATGTCACGTCTTGATGGTAAAAAAAAAAATGTTTTTTTCTGAAAAACTTTTTTTTCATGTGTTTTTCATGTGAGGGAAATCTTCGAAACCTCTTTACCGATTGCTTTGAAATTTTGACCCAACATTGCATTCGAATAGGCGCGTCTTTTTATATATCTACTATATACATGCCTCACCTGTGACAGGAAAACAAATGTTTTTTTTTTTAAAGCACCATCTGTTGGATATAAGAACAACACATGCTGTAATCTCCGAAAGTTCTTCACTGATTGCTTTGAAATTGTGACACAACGTTGCATTCAAATAGGCGCATCATTTTATATACCCACTATATAGATGCCACCCCTGTGACAGGTAAAAACATGCATTTTTTAAAAAACAGTGCCATCTGTTGCACATAATACCAACATGCACACAATACTATATATGTCACGAATTCCATTTCAATGTTTCAGATTGCATTGATAAATTTTATTTTCATAGATTTTGATTTATTTTATTTTTTATTGAATTATTTTGTGTGACATTGTGTTGGAATTGAGCTGTGTTGTTTACCATACCGTTCATTTCGTAAGTATAAGTATAGATGCCACACCTGTGGCAGGTAAAACAATGCTTTTCTTGAAAAACAGCGCCATCTGTTGCATGTAAGAGCAACACACATGCTATACTAAATATGTTACAATTCCATTTCAATGTTTCTGATTGCATTGATAAATTTAATTTTCATAGATTTTGATTTATTTTCATTTTGATTTAACTATTTTGTGTGAATTGCGTTGGAATTGAGCTGTGTTGTTTATCATACCGTTCATTTCGTGAGTATAGTTTATTTTTTCATATTTTCATTTAATTTTTAACAGTTTTTCTTATATTTCAGTGATGGAACATAAGATCACTTGATGTTCCCAATTTTCTCATGGGAACATCAGACCATTTGGGAAGGCTTTGAACGAGGGAGTGGGGAATGGTGGGGATGACGAGGGGATGGAAGTGAGAGATGGTGGGGAGGACGAGGGGACAAGGGAGGGGGTAATGGTGGGGAAGGACGAGGAGACGGGGGGAGTTTGGGATGGTGGGGACGAGGGGATGGAGAATGGTGGGGGAGGACAAAGGGACAGGGGAGTGGAGCATGGTGAGAAGGAAGAGGGGATGCTGGAGTGGGGAATGGTGGGGAAGACGAGGGGACGGTGGAGTGGGGAATGGTTGGGAGGCCGAGGAGACGGGTGAGGGAGGAATGGTGGAGAGGACTGGGGGACAGGGAAGGTTCCTGTGGCTTAAATTCGGCACCCGCCGTCTGATTTCCGCGGGACTGAACACACCTTCTTCCTGAAAAGCCAATCATTAACACGGCAACCCAACTGCCGGTATGCAAAGGGATCACAAGAGTTTCAACCAGATACTCAGGTAATGATGATATGCAATAAATCAACAAATACACTGTCAATGGGACACACAATAACATGCACAATAATAATATCACAGAATACTAAATGTCATTCCCAGACGAGTGAAATACCGTGATACCACACAGATAACCACCCATACACCGTCGATTCACCTATAACCTGTGACAGGTATGAGAAGGTGAGAACTGTGGTTGATACCTCAGATCAACACAGACAGACACAATAAAACAATGACAAGATCTTGTACTTACAGATGGGGTACCTCTCTTTATTAACTCACTCACTCAGGCACATTTATGCAAGAACTCGTAAGTGGCCTGATAGCTGGTTTCCTCATTCTGAAGTGAGACCATTGACGACTAGGCTTTCCCACTAACCGTACTTGAAACGGGGGTATTCGCAGGAAAGCGCGCTGTATGTATAACCGACACACGCACACACTCTGGCACTGGCGGTGAGTAAGGGTGGTGACGTCACGTAGTACAGTGAGGGCGGCGGCGGGCGGCTCGAGGCTTCACGAGGTACAGAGGTACTAGCTACACGCTCTGGACCGAGTGGCGGCTGGCTACTGCAGGTTAAGTGGTAAAATGCAGGTACACTTGTGGTAAAGTCACACACAGGTTACTTAGGCGGCGGCACTGCCTTAGTTCACTCCAGGTCACTCACAGACGATCTCCACTTGTCACTAGGGGTTACCTGATATCAGTCTGTTTCGCTCGGGTGATTTATCACTTAGGCTTCTGATCAATATATTCACGAACGCGATTCCGGGCGAACGTTGGTATATCGAAAAGACGCTGATTTCGGTCCGTCTAATTACCACAAGCTACACAAGCTATATACAGAAAGCTTCCTGGCAATACGTTAGTAATGAATAAATATGATATATTTACTCATTATAATGTTGGTGCTGAATGTACAACACGAAAACACATAATTTTAATCTGAAAAAGTATCTTTTTATAAAGAAATTAGACGAAAATAAAAAGCTGGTGACGCCAAATCAAGTCGACGATCCAAGCTTCGGTTAGGTTAGGTTAGGTTTGGTTTAGTTAAGTTAGGTTAGGATAGGTTAGGTTAGGTTAGGTTAGGTCAGCCTAACTTAACATATCATATTTATTCATTACTAACGTATTGCCAGGAAGCTTTCTGAAGCTTGTGTAGCTTGTGGTAATTAGACGGACCCGCTGAGTTTAACTTGACAGTGAGGAATGGACGGTGTTCAGTCTATTGGCCGATAGACAGAACAGGACACGTCCTCTGTGTAAGGGCTCTCTCACGAGAATACTCTTGCCAGCGGTTCCGGGCATCTCGTGGGACACAGCACAAAGCATTACAATTTGACCAATAGCATTGCAGCAAATGAGCGGGACCTAATCATATTGAACGTTCGTTGATCGGTAGGAGAGGTGACGTCATGAACACGTCACGACCACGTCACAGCTGTTATTCCCCATCGCGCCGGTTGAAGTTGACCTCAGGGTCAGACTGTCGCCTCCCAGGCGTCCCCTCTACTCTCTCACGCTGGCACCGGCCAATGTACTCACTGACCCTTTGTGGCAAGTATGCTTAACTTCCCTGTATCTACTTCCTGCCTGGACATACGGCGGCCTCCATATTATAAACTGTGAGAGAATCTTGAGACACCATTCTCTTACAGAGATAATGGCTCGTAGATAACCTCAGATAAATTTGGGTAAATTCATGAACTACCTGCCCATCAAAACTGTAAATGTCAGGACAGTACTGCAGTTCAAAATCCAGTTGGAAAAATGAGAGGAGAGGACTTTTGACCAACCACTGGCTTCCTGTCTCCATAATGGCTACATGATAGATGGTGGCCCTTAGATAAATTCAGGAAAGCATACTGGATTGTGAAGGTACATATGTATTTTGGTGATGTGGTTATTCAACTGCACAGGTCACTGATGTGCCTCTATCTGGACAACTATTTACAAGCATGGAGGCCTCACCTTCAAAATGACATCCAGTATCTACATTAGAGAAAATTCAACACACAGTGACAAAAACCATGCCATGAATGGTTGTGGGCCACAAGATTAGACCATACATGACATGGCTGATCTTGTCGGGACCTTTAAAATACTGAACAAGTTACAGAATGTTACTCCAGATTACTTCTATAAAAGGTCAAATGTAATGTATACAAGAGGCAACAGCTTCAACCTCAACGAGCCACAATGTGGGCCAGAAACCAGAAAGTGCTTTTTCACCCAAATTTTGTAACTAGCTCATCAAGATTGTAACTTGCTTAGCTAAATGAATTGTAGGGTTCAGTCCCTGAGCCCATTATGTGCCTCTGTAACCCTTTCCACTACCGCCCACAAGATGGGTATGGGGTGCATAATAAATGAACTAAACTAACTAACACCCAAAGGGTTATAAACCCATGGAACAGCCTACCCACCAATGCTGTAAATGCCAATACACTACTTAAGTTTAAAATCCAGACATAAAAAATTCTCAGGAACAATGGGGGGAACAAATCCACAAGGGCTGTGATGAGGGTTCGAACCTACGTCCGGGATGAAATTTTTGTGTGTAATGGGGGGAACTTTGACAAGCTGCAAACTTCCTGTCCCAAATGAGGCCACTAGGGAGACAGTTGCCCTCAGGTACATTCAGGTAAAAACACACAAACCATTTCAAGCAAGTCTTAAAGCTAACACAGAATGTCATTCATTATCTTAATTTAAGTCTGAAATGTGGCTCATATTAGTGTCTTTAACAAATAAACAAATACTGTACTACTGACTATTGTAATCTGATTCTCTGTATATCTTACAAATTAATAAATATTATTATTATTACTGTATTACTACTGTGTTATACCTGTTATTATTTCAGTTTTATTATTAATCAATCTAATTCTATTTTTTGTGACATACATGGATTTTATGCAGGATGAATGATCAGAAAAGTTTATGAAATAAGAAAAAAAAATCAAGTGTAAATGTAATTCCAGGATGGTAACTTGTAATACTTTTTTCAGAAAGTTGTAGAAGATGCTATGTTATACTCCCTAACCTCACGCTTGGAGCTGGTCTACCTGATCGAATCCTTCTTCCTCACTTGTCCTGGCCTCCAGTCTCACATCAACCGGGTTCAGCTGCTATCAGGAGCCAAGTACACACCAATTTTATATGCCCAGATGAATAAACCTATCAAGAAACAAAGACTTCTATCTGGAAAACATAAGGAATTTCAGAGCAAACTTGATGACTACTCAGCAGAGTGTCTCAGGTAATATCTAATACATTTTTATAATCCAATATATTGTATCATTAATACTAAGTATAAGGTATGCATTGATTCCTCCATCCAAAAACCCTGACGGTTTTTGAAGGCTCAGGGGGGGGGGGGGCCTGACGGCCGAGTGGACAGCACTCGGGATTCATAGTCCTAAGGTTCCAGGTTCGATCCCAGGCAGAGGCAGAGACAAATGGGCAGAGTTTCTTTCGCCCTAATGCTCTGTTCACCTAGCAGTAAATAGGTACCTGAGAGTTAGACAGCTTCTACGGGCTGCTTCCTGGGGATGTGTAATAAAAAGAGGTCTGGTCGAGGACCAGGCTACGGGGACACCATGCCCTGAAATCATCTCGAGATAACCTCAAGATAACCCACCACTGGTATAATGAGTCAAGCAATCCCTGTGGGGAAAGAAAGCGAGGCCTGGGCCAAGGTCCAATATTATTCCTCACAAATGTTTGTATGGAATTTTACAGGAATAAATGTTCCTTGCCCTGCTCTAGTAACTCTGTGCTGGTCACTTATTTATCCATATCTCGCCTATAGGATCTATGCCTAGGGATCTAATACCCTTAATTACCTCTGACCACTGATTATTCAACAAAATCCTGACCTTAAGTGCTTCCTAGAAGGCTGTAATAGGACTCATGGTCACCACACAAGAAACAAGTATCTCTGATATTCCTAGAGCAAGGCTCAACCAAAGCACAAATGCTATGCAAATTAAGAATCCCAAATTATGGAATGACCCCCCCCCCCCCAAATGTGGTTAAAAGCTGTACATCTCACAACCAGTTTAAAAGAGACTAAGAAATATTTACCGTACTTAATATCATGTAATTAATACCATATAATTAATATAATATAACTAATTTCATTCACATTTTCCCTCAAAATACATTCATTTGTGTGTTAATCTTATCTTACATTTTATTTACTGAATAATTATGTTCATTCCTCATTGTCATCTAATTGTTACACTTCATGTATAAAATAGTTTACTCATGTCCATTATGATCCTTGTTTATTTTAAGTGTTGGGCCCATTAAACTTAAACTATACTCTTATACTTTATGTTATGTTCCAGTTGCTTTTCTAACTCACACCTTAGTACATATTTCCATTCTGTTATTAATGTAAATAAACTATTGTACTGTTGCTAGAACTACAGACTTCATAATGTAATAGTCAATGCCTGCCATCATTATTTAGTATTGTATCACCCTTTTATTATATTCATTTGTTATTTTTTATGAACTTTATAAAATTTGTTAGCTTGCTTCTCTTTTAATATTAAGTGTTTACCCCTTCATACCTTTAAATAATTTTTTGTATCTAAATTTTTAAGGTTTACCGAAATGCATTGCTTAAGAATTACACACACTAAATGGTTTCATTAGTGTAACTCATGCTACACTTTACCTCTAAAAAATACACATACCCTACAGTTGTACTTTACTCTTATGCTTTTTGTGTACACATTCTTCTGAATAAACATTATAATTATTATTATTATTATTATTATTATTATTATTATTATTATTATTAGTAAAGAGAGGCTGAAATTAGATGAACTTATAGTTAGTTTTTTTTATCTACACTCTGTAATCTTTCAATACTGTATTTTTAATAAAGTTATCACCACACAGAAACCATCGGCAGCAGATTCTAGAAGAGGAGAATCAGCAAGGACGTGAAGACCCCTTGAGCCAGTATCTCCCTGTCTTGCAAGAATTGCAAGTTATTTTGAGTAATAATCCTCAAATTCTGCACTCTGGCCGCTAAACATAATATCAAAAACACATTTGCAATTTCTGTCTAACAATGCTGAAAATAATGTAGGTGTATTAATGTGATAGCTCCAGTTTAAATCATTTTGTCTTACAAATTCACAAGTTGGATGAAAATTAAAGTGCAATTTATCTCCAAGCAAGAAGATAATGTAAATGTGGAAGCTTCCTGGTGATGTGAACTATTATAGTGCTAAAATTTTTGTTGAAACTTTATCCACATGGTAATGTTGTGAAGGTAATTTTAATGCACTATTACTAATACAGCCTGATTTTATGATATATTTTAACTAGAGCTTCTCTCACTCTGTCTAGTAATGCAACAATGGCAGTATGCATGTGTGCATACAAGTGTGGATATATGCAAACTTTACAGTACTTATTCAATGTATTATTATACACAGATATACAATGTGATAGTAACATAATGGGCGACTGCTTGGACACAGAATAGAACTTGGCAAGGGAATCTCGGAATACAGTGCATGTATAAATATCTACATTAAATATTATATATTTAAGTATTCCGGATGTATAAGTGCCAATAGTTTTTTGAAGGCTCTGGATACTAGGCTTATTGAAACAACAAGATACCAAGAGCTGGCAGCTAGCTACCTTTTCCAGCTCTTTGGTGCCAATACAGAGGGAAAATGCAGACTGCACTCTTGGTTCCTGCCTAACATCCAAGGGGTTGAAGTAGCTATACTTGTTTATGTACCTGTATTTCATACACATTCCTTTATAATATTCTTCAGTTAGTTTAGTTCATTTATTATGTACCCCATACCCATCTTGTGGGCGGTAGTGGAAAGGGTTACAGAGGCACATAATGGGCTCAGGGACTGAACCCCACAATTCATTTAGCTAAGCAAGTTCAATTTTGATGAGCTAGTTACAAAATTCAGTATAAGTCGTCAAATCAACAATGGGTTCGAGATCGACCACAAGTACAGTTTCTAAATTAAGCAACTGACATATGTGGAGAGCTAGTGTCACAATTGATATGTTTGTCCTGCACACCGCTCCCCATCCAGTGGGCAGCGGTGGATAGGTTACAATCACTCTTAGTTACTACCTACAGTTAGCAAACTGGGGATATTTGGCTAAAATTTCTGGTAGCAGATAATTTTGAATGAAATATTGACACATCGTTGGTACATTGGTTATAGAATTGTCTCTGAATTCACGTATCTTTTCGCACTCCATCACATAGTGACGGAGGGTGTGCAAATAATTTTGTTGACACAGTTTACATTTGGTCAGATCTACATCAGCAGATAATGAGAACTCCCAGAGGTACTTGTACTTGTAACCAAGTCTAAGCCGAGCAGTAGTAACATCTAGAAGTCTGCTGATTTAATTGGATGATCCATAGATGTGTGGCTCCTCTTGCATGATAGTATGATAATAGATGGAATTACTGGTGTCAATTTCACTTTGCCTCAGATCTACAAGATCTTGTTGAAGTTCTCGGTGTACTGCTGTTCTCAGATTGCTCATTGACAATCCAAGGTTACACTCAACGGCTCCTTTAAAGGCAGATTCTTTGGCTAACTTATCAGCTCTATCATGCATTCGGAGGCCAACATGAGATGGAGACCACATGAAATGCACTCTGTTACCATCCTTAATAATTTTGTTATATTTGTGTCTAGTATCAGCTTCCATTTGTTTTGTGATTACTGTGGTTGGGTTTCAAGTCTTACATAAGGAACACTATATAAATTTGTAACTTTAGTTACAATTTTATTTTAGTTACAAATTAGTTTTATAACAATGTCAGATAACCATCAAAATATCCATAATCATTATTTTTATTAAAGCTATATGTTAATTAAAATACTGCAATGAGTTTAATGTAATTCTTACTAACTACAGTACTATTTATGTAAACGCTTTTTTATTTGCTAATACAATATGCCATATTATGCAAATACTGTGCATATAAAATGTGTTTTATTTAGTCCTAATTTATTAATTATCTCCTTACGCAATACAGTATTGTACGTATACTATAAAATGAAGTAAAGCCCAAACCAATACAAAATTTATAGGCTGACTTGCCTGTGACTTGCCAAATGTAATGCAACACCTTTAGCCAGTAATATTTATTCTGTGGTTGGAAGAAAACGCTCACTGAGTGGGGGACTTGTTTATTTTATAATAATAATAATTATTTAAACAAATAATTAATAATAGTCATAATTAATGATTTAATAATTGATAATCCTTAAATGAAGCCTAGTAGCTCATTATAACGAATAAATAGATGATTAAAGTGGAATTAATTATGGTGACTAATAATGATTAGTGAATAACCATAAATTATTATACAGAAATAAAATTATTGGATAGCCGTTATAATGATTAAATCAAATACAATGAAGAGAGATCTCGTATTCTTGGCTTATCACTTTGGGGGTTCCGTCGGAGCACCCCCAATCCCGTGAGGGCCAGCGCCGCGGAACCCCCACCCCCGAAGGGCGAGCGGAAGCTGGCTGCTATAAGTAGGAACATGACATCTCGCTACCGTGGCCGTAAGCGTGCCCGTACGCCCGGAGAGGCCATTAAAAAACAATCAGGTTTTCCTGACTGAAAAAGGTACCAATCCGGGTCTACTAGACAGATGCTGCTAGCAGACGCAGCTCGCTTGGTGGGCCGACGGAGCTCCAACTTGACGAGCCGTGGAGCAGAGAGGCGGGTTGGCCCACCGACTGTGCCCTGTGAGGAGGACCTACTGCCGGGTTTGTACTCCAAGCGGGGAGCGCTTTCCACCATGGCGAATGACTGGGCGATCCCGTTTATATCTTCGTCGTAGTAGCCCGCCCTCACAGAGACCAGTCCTGGAAGGCTGGCCCCAAGGCGGGTGTGGGAATGTGAACGCTGTCCACTTCGAGGCCGACTCCCCAGGGTCGACCCGGTGTCGGTCATTGTCGCTGTGGTGAGCCCCGCGGGTGTGGAGTGGAGGTGTCCGCTTAGAAGCGTGTCGGTCACCTCCCAGGATACCTCGCACGTTGGGCATGAGAGCCGTGGTCCATCATCACAGGTTTTCCTCGTCCTCGTTCTATTGTGGATCTGGAAGTATTAAAGCAGTAAGGGTGGGCAGGAGCTGGTGTGCAGAGGTAACGTGAAAAGCAAAGGCACGGGTGCGTGGGACCCGCATCAAAGCGTACTGCTGGCAACTTTGGCTGCGAGAGTGGTGATAACTGGATGCGACAGCTGCTGCGTAAGACAGGAATGGGTAGAATTGAAAGAAGCCCAGCATAACTGAGTGGGGAACTGCGGGACCACTTACGCTCATCAAGACGAATTAGACTGTAACAAAAGTATTATTAAGAATGTAGAGAAAATGCGGTCTTCCCTTCTACTCTCGTGAAATTCCTCGGCTGGGACACGCCATCTGTAGCCTTGGCAGCTGGACCATTGCAGCTGCGGCATCTTCGGATGGACGCCGCTAGATGTCAACTTCAGCAGCTGGGACATCGTCGGCTGGATACCTCCTTCCGGAGCCTCAGCTGCTGGGTCATCGGCTGAAAACACGTCAGCCGGGACATCCGGAGCTAGGCTAGGCCCCCCGGTGTCATGCACATCTGGCACACCACCAGCTGGCCCAACAGCTGGGCCTCGCCCAGTGGCCGTAACACTACCAGCTGGGCCCTCAGCTGCTGGATCATCGGCATGTACTACGTCAGCCTGCTCCTCAGCAGCTGGGTCTGGCCCGAGAAACCACAAACAATATATAATACATAAATTAGAAAGGAATATAAAGAATGACAAATGTAAAGAACAGAAATCGTATATAAATAATGAGAGTGACTGTGCATGCTCGGCTGCAACACCACCAGCTGAGCCTTCGGCTGCTATTATTAGCTACTAATAATTAATTGGCAATACTCATAATAATGGGTGATTATACGGGCTTGCTCGGCTGGACCTTCAGCCGCCGGGTCACCGGCAGCATATAAATAATAATTAAACAACTGCAAACAATTAATTAACAATAATCACAATGATTAATTACAAGGCATGCTCAGCTGTAAGACCGTCAGCTGTGCCATCAGCTGCTGGATCATCGGCCGGGACCACATCGGCCGGAACGTCAGCAGCTGTGCTTGGCCCCCAGGGGCATGCTCAGCTGGAACACCACCAGCTGGGCCATCAGCTGCTGGATCATCGGCCGGAACGTCAGCAGCTGTGCTTGGCCCCCAGGGGCATGCTCAGCTGGAACACCACCAGCTGGGCCATCAGCTGCTGGATCATCGGCCGGAACGTCAGCAGCTGTGCTTGGCCCCCAGGGGCATGCTCAGCTGGAACACCACCGGAAGGGCCATCAGCTGCTGGATCATCGGCTGGGACCACATCAGCAGCTGTGCTTGGCCCCCGGGGGCATGCTCAGCTGGAACACCGCCAGCTGTGCCATCAGCTGGGACCACAACAGCCGGAACATCAGCAGCTGCCCCAGGGGGGGGTTGGGCGTGGCCCCCCAGGGGGCACGCTCAGTTGGCCCATCAGCTGCAAGGGTCATTGGCAGCGTATCCACGTCGGCCGGTACATCAGCAGCTGCGCCCGGCCCGAAGGCAGCTGAGCCAATAGCTGCTGGATCATCGGCAGGGATCACATCAGCGGCAAAACAAATGAGTAGCAAAATTATAATAACCAGTATGATAATTGAATATGAGGATAATAATAAACAGGGAAAGTGAATAGACATAACCAGAAATAATGACTGAATAATAATTGAGACCTCGTTTGTGTGCTCAGTTAGTGTATACAGCATCGAAGAATGTGGTACATTCATTGTTCCTTATCCCAAAATAATAAGCACGGGGGGGGGGGGGGGACGAATATAATAAAGAATAATAATAAACAATAATAACACTAAAGAATAGTAACACTAAAGGATAACAATACTAAGGAATAATTGACAGGATTCGGCTGAATCGAATCTTCGGGCCTGAAGTAATTCTTGACTTACTAAAGATAATATAAGCATAAAGAAAGCTGATCTTTCTTAAGTAAAGACTCCTAATAACTGGAGCGCCAGCTGCTGGATCCTGGCTGGGACCTTGTCAGCCGGAACTTCAGCATGATTGATAAAGATTAAGCCACCCAAGAGGTGGCACGGGCATGAATAGCCCGTAAGAACTTCAGCAGCTGACTCCGTTTTGTAGTGTAACTGGTGAGGCGGAGGCGAGCAAGAGGGCACTGTGTCCGCGGCTCGCATTTAAGTACCCCACTCGGTGCGCGCGCGCGCTACTTAGTCGGTTAGTCTCCGACTCATGGTAGTGCATTTTCTTCTTCGCAGAATTTCACCGCTTTTGCTGAGAAAATCAGTGATTATTTGATGAATTTATTTGAGTCACCAGCTGAATTTTGAACTGAAGTACTGCCTTAGTATTTCAAAATAAAAAAAATAAAAATCTTTATTCAGATAAAAGTACCTGTACATACATAGAAGGTGAGTTAAAAACATAATGTTGGATTTATAGATAGAGCTAGTACATACAATACCTAAAGCGACCCCTAGAAACGCACAGCGTTTCGGGCAAGGTGTGGGGAAAAAAACGCTTAGACTAAAGCTTAATACTAATTGAGATTAAAGTATAAATTGTGTTGAAAATGGAAAAAAGGGGGGAGGGGGAACATGGCAGAAATCAGCAATAATACAACTTGGTCAACAAACAGTATTGTTTGAAAATAGCAAGACATGGTTGACATTTAGGGGGTAAGGTAGGTTACATGGAGTTTATTAGGTAGTATTTAGTTTTTCTCTTAAACTGGTTGAGAGAGGTACAGCCTCTGACATGATTGGGAAGGTCATTCCACATTCCGGGTCCCTTGATTTGTAGAGCATTTCTAGTTTAGTTAAGGCACACTCTTGGAACATCATATAGGTATTTGTTTCTGGTGTGGTGCCCATGGGTTCTGTTACAACCTTCTAGGAAGCCTTTAAGGACAGGATTGACATTACAGTTCAGAGTTTTAAATATATAGAGTACACATGAGAGGATGTGCAGTGACCTAATATCTAACATATTCAGAGCTAATTTGTTTTATCAGGGACAGGAAGTTGTGTATACTGTCTACTCTCAGTAATCAGGATCATATGGGGCCCATCCCTCTATGAGTTAGCCAGACATTCAAATTAGCAGGATTCCTTGCTAGGAGGATCCAAAATTAAACATATTTGCAACAACCAAGTTATGGGAGGCTCTTCATATACAGTTGTTACGGTATCGACACCATCGTCGGAGTGTGGAGTGGCGATTTCAGCCCCATCTATGGGTCTGCACTCCAACTTCCCCTAGTATTGGGCGCTATGTAGACAACTCCATCTGTTGGTGGTGGCATGGTATCGATGAACGGCTCCAGTTTCCTGCCCCAGTCAGAAGAGGAGGTCGATGTGGGTGACCTCTGGTGGGTGGTGTATCAAGATCAGCGCCATCTAGGTTGTGGCTACAATGCACAATGTCAATTCCCCGGTGAATGGGTGTTACTATAAAAATTCCAGGGTTATCCAGTGTACTGTCCATATGGCTAATGACGTTTTTGTGTCCACAGAGGTGACATATGGTGGCGATTGAGCTGAGGAGGGCTGTTCACCTTGGGCAGTCCACGAACTCTTGCTTGGTCTTACGAGAGGACTAAGTAGCCGCTGTCGATCCGAGCAGTGTGTGTTAGCTGCTGATATATGCAGTGTTTTTGAAGATCGACGTACCCGGGATTGGCTTGTAAGAGTTAGAGACAGTGATGTGTCTATTGTGAAGTGCTGCTAGCAAGCTGCTGGAGGCTTCTACCAGGGAGTTAGCTACCCCTGTATGTGTTAGTTTGAGACCCCTATCAGTATGTTGCTGAGGCCCTCTGCCAGTGTGTATCTGGAGAGCGAAGGTCGGGTGTAGGTACATCGTGATACTGTGTGGGTGGACTGGCCCAGGTAGAAGGTAAATTCGCCAGTGTTTGCCAGAACAAGTGGACAACGTGTACCTGGAATGTGGGTTCACTGGGCTTGATGAACACTGTCGTTAAGTTGTGCCCTGAGTGAAAGAGGCACTTTGTACATACGTATAGTAATAATCTATTATAATATAATATATAGTGGTGAAGGTGTAAGTATATTGGTGAAGGGAATTGTCTTCTTATTCCCCCTCCCTCTTGCATGATAGTATGATGATAGATGGAGTTATTGGTGTCAATCATTATTCTTCCCTGCAGGAAGAACTGCACGTAATATAGGTCATTCAATAATGTTAGCAGATTTCTAGACGTTACCACTGCTAGGCATAGGCTACAAGTAACTCTGGGAGTTTGCAACATCTGCTGATGTAGATTTGACTAAATGTAAACTGTCAGCAGAACTATTCGCATACTTTGCGTCATTATGTAATGGAATGTGGAAAAAATCACGGAATTCAGAGTAGCACCATCAATGGAATCCAAGAAATGTATTAAGTATTTTATTCATAATGATATAGTGTACTGCCAGGAATCTTAGCGAAGTATCCAAAATTTCCTTACTGTAGGTAATGCATGCACATGACTGTAAAGCTGCCGCCCAGTTTGGTGGGTGTGGAACACATGGCTGTAAAGCTGCCGCCCAGTTGGGTGGGTGTGGAGCACATGACTGTAAAGCTGCTGCCCAGTTGGGTGGGTGTGGAGCAAGACTAGTAACTGTGTGACTCACCATAGATGTAAAGTGCCTTGTATAGTGACTCTTGTGAGCCTCTTGTTGAATCACTTGATATAAAATAGATTATCGATATGTATATGTATTTGTGCAAACGATTGTATATGTATTTGTGCAAACGATTGTATATGTATATATAACGATTGTACATGAATATATAATATTAACAACTGTGTAACTAGCTTCAAAAGATTGTCACTTGCTTAGCTAAACGAACTCTGGGGTTTAGTTCCTGAACCCATTATGTGCCTCTGTGACCCTTTCCACCACCACCCACGGGATGGGTATTGGGTGCATAATAAAGGTGAAATTTTGTATCGATATAGATTACTATAAGTTGCACCCGGCTATACCTGAGTCTCTTCCTTCTGTCTCCTTCTTCCCTGCATCTCCCACTTACCTACCCCACTCCTCGTCCCTTCTCCTTCGTCCACCCATCTCGTCCTCCCCTCTCACCCTCTCCTCTTCCTTCCACCCTCTTTTCCCTCTCTCCGTCACTGAAAAACATTTGCTATTACGAAGCACGGAAAATGCTAAACAACTCTACTAGAAACACTACCAACATTTCAGGCTTCCCTCCATGAAAATCACATGGGAGGTCGCTATAAATGGCTATATTTATTTCACTTGGGGCGACCACAGTCGGTCTATGACACTCCCCTAGTGCACTCCTAGTGCCTAGTCCACGTGCTTCATGTGTGAAAGTTGGGTGAGGCATTAGGGCCTCCAACCTCGGACAAAAAGGCATTTATTTTTTTTTTACTTTTTTCATTTTTGTATTTAGCAAAATTAGGTATACACAGCAATGTGCTGCTTCCCTCTTCTAAATGACATTTTACACGGTGAAGATCAAGAATATAGCTATAGGTTCAACTGTTATTCCAATCTCACAGGATGGTTAGTCATACATGGTGATTTTATTTAGTGTTTTAGCAGATAGTGATTTTTATTTAGTTAATTTGTTATGTACCCGGTAACCCATCCTGCGGGTTGAAGTAGAAAAAGGTTACAAGCGACATAATAGACTTAGGACCTCTGAACCCCAGCATTCATTTAACTAAGCAAGTTAGTCTAATTGATAAGTATAATTACATATATTATTAATAAGTGAGCTAGCGAAATGGTCGAATTATTATGAAAATTACAGAAGAGACCAATTCCTTAAACATATTTATTTATTTATTTATTTTTATTTATTTATATACAAGAAGGTACATTGGGTTTGAGAGAATAGTATTTACAATCTTGTAAAGTCACTAGTACGCGCAGCGTTTCGAGCAGGTCCTTATTAATCTAACAGATAATTTATAGTAGGTAAATTCTAGCAGAATTAATAAAATGATAACAGATACATTGCAAGAAAAAAATGAGATGAGAGAGATTAGTAAGTATAGTAAAGCACATTGGTATATTAAATCACACATCAGTATATTATATGAAACATAGTTTCAAGAGTATGTATAGGTGTGATAAGAAGCAAGAGGGCCGAGAGAGCCATTACAACTGGATAATGAAAAGCGGGTCCCAGGAACTAAAGCTCGCCCTACAAACACCCACGAGTGCATAAATGTGAGTATAGAGGGTAGGAGCCAAGAGGGGCGAGAGAGGGCAGCACCTCCCGCTCCCCGACACTGTTGACATTTGGCTATGGTGGAGCTACGCCAGTCCGCGTACTTATAATTTGCGGTGAGTTCATTCACCTGGTCTAGTTCCACCCCCCCAACAACCTGGTGTCCCCCAGCCTCACGTGGTCCCCCTGGCACAGTGCCCGGGGGGTGGCACTGTGGCCTGAGCAAGCTGGTCAGTGTGAGAGAGCTGTGATGGCGAGAGGACAGTTGTGGTGTTGTTGATGAGCCCTCAAACTTGACTCGTGTGTGTCCAGGGTATTATGTCCTCAAGGTGGGCACTGGCAAGGATTTGTTCCTCCAGGGGAAGGTATAGTGCCCCCTCCCCCCTGCCATCACCTGTGTGGCAGGGCAGGTATGGAACATGTATATGACTTAGTCAGGATCCGAGAAGTACCGAAATGCTCTCACTTTTATTTCAGTACCTGAATTTTCCTGCGGGCCACTTGTCTCTAGTGGTCTCAGTTAAGATGGGAAGCCAGTGGCTTATCAAAAGTGGCCCGCTATTTGACCTGAAGATTTTGTCTATTTGGATTTTAAGTTGCAGCAGTGTTTTAAACCTGTGGGTTGAGTTATTTGTGTTGACTTGTCACATTGTTTTGACTTGTTCTCAGCATTTTATGATCTGTTCATGACTCAAATATGATGAGAATATTCCAAATGTAACACTTTTTTTCAGCTGTAGCTATTCACAACTCTTATCAATTTAATATAAGGGTTCTAGTAGTACTATCGGGTTCATTCTCGGCTCGCAGTCTCTCGATTGTGAATGAGCCGAGAATGAATCAGGAATTCAATTCTGCAAAATGATCCAACTATTTAATTAGTTTGAACCCTCCAAGTTACAGCTGGCCACTGCCAGGTCACAACACCATGGGAATTGCCAGCTCCTGAAAGGGGACAAACTTCTTGGTCGTTCCCTAGAGTTCATGACCACCTTGGGTCTTCTGATATCTATTAGTGTGGACCACTCCTTAAGTCACCAAGCTTCTCAAGTCATATCTGTTGATTCTGAGGATCAATGTCCCTGTGGCCCGGTCTCTGACCAGGCTTCCTAGATGGTGACCTGCTCAACCAGGCTGTTTGATGTGGCTGCTTGCAGCCTGACATTGGAGTCATAGCCTAGTTGATGAGGTATCCTTTAAATGTGTTTATCAAGTTTTCTTTTGAACACTGCAAGAGGTCAGTCAGTTATGCCTGGCACAGTATAGTATGTGTAGAGGGAGAGTATTGAAAATTCTTGGGCCTTTGATGTTGATTGAGTTCTCTCTCGGCATGCCTACCGCACCTCTGCTTTTTAATGGGGCTATTTTGCACATCCTGTCATGCCTTCTGGTCTCATGTGGTGTTATTGCTGAGTGCAGATTTGGAACCAGTCCTCCTAGTATTTTCCAAGTGTAAATTATGTATCTCTTCTGCCTGCACTCTAGAGAATGCAGATTTTAATTTTTTTTTAAGCAGTCCCAATAATTTATTGTTTTATTGATTGGATTCTTTACTTCATTTTAATTTTCAAAGAATATTTAAAAAATATTGAGGCATCTTTACAGTGATGCCTCAATACAATTTGACTGTCTGCTTTATGTAAAATTTGCAATTATTGTGGACTTGGGAATATTGCTTTGATTCCCCCATAGTCTGACTAAATCTGTGCAAACATCCCATTCTCCCCCCCCCCCCCAAAAAAAAAAGTCTATGGAACTTGCTCCCAAATGAATTAAAAGATTGTCCAACCTATGCTTTATTGAAAAGTAAAACCAAAAAAGTACCTAATTACATAGTTTCCTACCTTGTGCTTCAAACTCGCACTGTATCTTGTGCTACTCGCTCTCCCAATTTTAGTACTCAAAACATGCAACATCACCAGTGTAATCAATACTATCAATTTTTATTGTAGTTGTTACTGTATGTAGAAATAAAATTCTGCTACAATGTACCTTTTAATTACTCTTACTTTTATCTGTTAAATTTAGAACCTGCTCGAAACTCTGCATGTTAGTGGCTTTGCAAGAATGTAAGAACACCATTGTCAAGTGCTCTCACAACCCAATGTACCTTCTTGTATATAAATAAGTAAAAAAATAAAAATGTTTTAACATAATTTGCAGTAAGAACCCTTCTTTGATCATCTGGAAATTTTGACACTTTGTTTTGGAGACAGTCTTAGTTATTATAGAGTACTGTATCTATATTCCACTGTATTTCTTTTTATCTTAGTTAACTTGGTTTCTTCTTTATAAGAATTTATCATTGCAGTTTTGGTCAGTCACTACTTCATTTTCACTGTTCACTATCATCGTTATACTCATATTTTGCTTTGGATTCTACCACAGAAAAGTGATTAATATTTTATATAACACTACAGTGTTAATAAGCAGTCATCATTAAATCACTGTTACTATTTATGTTCTGGCAAGTGGCAGTGTTCTAGAGTACTGCATTTACAGTATATTAGGTAATTATTAATTACAATTGTAAGTTTTGAGTCAATCAAGGTTCAGATGTAAGTTTTAAATGTGTTGTGTAGCCATGTATGAAACCAAGATATGAAAGGTAATCATATACATGAAATTTGAGACAGGTATATGTTTACTTACATAATATTGTTTGTTACAGATGTTGGTAACAATGATGTGAGTCATGCTGCACATCCTGCTTCTGTACACTCTTGTCCAAGGAGCAGGTGAGAATAGAAGTTCCTTAGAAAGCTTTTATCGTGTTCCACGTCACAGCCCAGTTGATCACGTATCCTTTGGAGGTGGTTATCAAGCTCTCATTTGAACACAACAGGAGGTCGGGCAGTCAGCCCCCTCGCCCCAACCTTCTCTGCTGACTTTACCCAACCCTGATTTATCTGAACCTGATCTTGCCTAGTTCTATGCCTATCTCTTTGCCTTGTCATTAATTTCTTTTCTTGTTGTAGTTCTTCTGGCCCACTTCCAGTTGTGCACCTTGTAGAACATCCCATTTTTAGGACGATGGCATAATGTCTTGCTTTTCTGTTGTCTCTAGGGGTCATTTGTCCCTCTTTAGAATCCTTGGCAAGTCCGATAACTTTGCTATCTCATGCCTTGTGTCCTTTTGTTTTTATACTGCCATCTTGAATGATATTTAATATCTTTTTCATATCTGGTGATGTAAACTGTGCAATATAGTCTAACCAATAACCAATTTGGTGTCTTTTTGATAATTAATTGCTTGGAAACAGATTTCTTGTACAGTATTGTGTGTTATAAACAATTTTCTAGAATACTATACAGTGTGTGTGTGTGTGTGTGTGTGTGTGTGTGTGTGTGTGTGTGTGTGTGTGTGTGTGTGTGTGTGTGTGTGTGTGTGTACTCACCTAATCACCTAATTGTGCTTGCGGGGGTTGAGCTCTTGACTCTTTGGTCCTGCCTCTCAACCGTCAATCAACAGGTGTACAGATTCCTGAGCCTATTGGGCTCTATCATATCTACACTTGTCTATCATATCTACACTTGTCTATCATATCTACACTTGAAACTGTGTATGGAGTCAGCCTCCACCACATTACTTCCTAATGCATTCCATTTGTCAACCACTCTGACACTAAGAAAGTTCTTTCTAATATCTCTGTGGCTCATTTGGGCACTCAGTTTCCACCTGTGTCCCCTAATGCGTGTGCCCCTTGTGTTAAATAGCCTGTCTTTATCTACCCTATCAAGTCCCATGAGAATCTTGAATGTGGTGATCATGTCCCCCCTAACTCTTCTGTCTTCCAACAAAGTGAGCTTTAATTCCCGTAGTCTCTCCTCGTAGCTCATACCTCTCAGCTCGGGTACTAGTCTGGTGGCAAACCTTTGAACCTTTTCCAGTTTAGTCTTATCCATGACTAGATATGGACTCCTTGCTGGGGCTGCATACGCCAGGATTGACCTGACATATGTGGTATACAAAGTTCTGAATGATTCCTTACACAAGTTTCTGAATGCCGTTCTTATGTTGGCCAGCCTGGCGTATGCCGCTGATGTTATCCTCTTGATATGGGCTGCAGGAGACAGGTCTGGTGTGATATTAACCCGCAAGTCTTTTTCTTTCTCTGACTCCTGAAGAATTTCATCTCCCAGATGATACCTTGTATCTGGCCTCCTGCTCCCTACACCTATATTCATTACATTGCATTTGCTTTGCTTGGGTTAAACTCTAACAACCATTTGTTTGACCATTCCTTTAGCTTGTCTAGATCTTCTTGAAGCCTCAAGCAGTCTTCCTCTGTCTTAATCCTTCTCATAATTTTGGCATCGTCCGTAAACATTGAGAGAAATGAATCTGTACCCTCCGGAAGATCATTTACATATATCAGAAACAAGATAGGACCGAGTACAGAGCCCTGTGGGACTCCACTGGTGACTTCACCAGTGGAGTCTGAGTCTGAATCATTCTGAATGATTCCTTACACAGGCTCTTGAACACTGTTCTGATGTTAGCCAGCCTCGCATATGCCGCAGACGTTATTCTTTTTATGTGGGCTTCAGGAGACAGGTTTGGTGTGATATCAACTCCTAGATCTTTCTCTCTGTCTGTTTCATTAAGTACTTCATCTCCTATTCTGTATCCTGTGTCTGGCCTCCTGTTTCCACTGCCTAGTTTCATTATTTTGCATTTACTCGGGTTGAACTTCAACAGCCTTAGTTGGACCATTCACTCAGTCTGTCTAGGTCCCCTTGTAGCCTCCTCCTATCATCCTCTGATTCAATCCTCATAATTTTTGCATCATCAGTAAACAGATCATTTACATATATCAGAAACAGTATAGGTCCAAGGACTGTGTGTGTGTGTGTGTGTGTCTATATATATATTATATACAATATATATTGTATATATGTGTATATTGTACACAGAATTTGGTAATACAGTGTAGGGTCTGAAAGAAATTTTTGTTTAGCGGCATTGAAATGGTTGGCGCTTTATAAATATCCTATATTAACCTGATATGCGGCTATCAATTTAGAAGTATGTCTGCCTATGTGCAAATAATACAAAAATCCACAAAATATTTTTCTTATAGAATAATTAATTTGGATGTTAAATGCATGGAAAAGTGGAAATACACTGAATATCTACATTGTAACCTATTTTGTGCAGTGAGCAAAATTTACCACCTCTGGGTCAAAGATGGAACTCGGCACCATGTGGTGACCTAGCCACATGGTTCGCTGTTCCTTCTTTTTTGTCTTCGTTGTTTCGCAATCGGCATCTTATGCTGAATACTGTCACCTCTTATTATTCGGCTTTGGGGAAACCGCTGTTGCTCATGTTCAGTGTCGACACCTCTGTGGCACCATTCCACAAGTTGTCTCGTGCATTCTTCAACTTCCAGCGTTCTCGTGCTCCTCCTGACCCTTCTTGGTTCTTTTAACTGCAAGAAATTGCAGTTTCATTACATTCAACACTGGGTTTTTCATATGTCAAACTAAACTCCACTACATCCATATAGACATTATATCCATATTGGCATCATTTGTGTAAATCCCAGACAATAATAGTTTAAATTAATGTATGATGATACCCACACTTTAAGGGTTGGGATACATATTTGTGTACAATACAATACAGGTATACAATACAATTCATAATTTCCTACCTTGTGCTTTAAAATTGCACTGTATCTAGTGCTACCCAATCCCCCAATCTTTATGTACCTAAGCCAAACAACTTTACCATTGTGATCCTTGCTGTCGTCTTATATGTGCTATCAATATGCTGTATTGTGCCTATTAATCTTTGTTAAATTACCACTCAAGCTGTCAATGCTATCAACCAGAGCTACCGATGTGTTTTAATATACCTACTAATCTCTCTTTCTCTTGTTTCTTGCAATGTACCTATTATCATTTTATAAATTTTATTAGAATTTACCTACTTAAAATTATCTGTTAGATTAAGAACCTGCCTGAAATGCTGCACGTACTAGTGGCTTTACAAGAATGTAAATACCATGCTATGTACCCTCGCAAACCCAATGTACCTTCTTGTATATAAATAAATTAACAAGCACAATCGGTCGGCCGAGTGTTGTCCGTGAGCACGCTACCTCACTCCAATGTTTATACTCTTTTTCAGCTTTCTCACCTCAATTTTGGTGCTACGTCATTCAATTTGGTATCAAATTGTTCGCAATAGAATGCTGTAAAGGGATACAGGCGATGAGTCACAATTACGTGGCTAAAGTATGTTGACCAGACCACACACTAGAAGGTGAAGGGACGACAACATTTTGGTCCGTCCTGGACTATTCTCAAGTTGATTGTGACCATTCTCGCAATCGACTTGAGAATGGTCCAGGACGGACTGAAACGTCGTCGTCCCTTCACCTTCTAGTATGTGGTCTGGTCAACTGTAAAGGGATATCTGCATATAAGAACATGTCTCACTTTTCTGTACTTTTGACGAACACACGATAACTTTTCCCTCAAACGTGTTTCTTTCACTGCTTTTTGTCATGGATTGTTTAGCTATATGGATACATAACTGACTTGGCGCTGGTAAGATTAGACTGTGTACAGATCATGTAGTGGTCACTGGGTCCCATTATACTGTATTTACTGTTTCTGTGTTTAAAAGTGTATTTGTATGTGTGTGTGTATGATGAAGGGGAATAAATTATCTAATTTGATATTCATTGACTAATCACTGAAATGTTAGATGCAAATATTTGTCATACTAGTTATGAAGAAAGTAAATCTATAGTACTGTACTGCTAATAACCAAAACAGGTGGTTAGTTCGAGTCGGCTGTCTTGCATGTATGTTATTTACATTACAGTGCCTTTGAAGAAACTTGTATGTTTTTATATAAATTTATCTTTTGGGGGTTGTAAGGCATGGTTGACAAGAGAAATATTCATAACAGGATCTTCTGTGTTATTCTGTAGTTTACATAACTTTCAACTTTTAACATGGCAAAAAAAAAATTATGAAATGGTTCATTGATGATCAAGCCATAAGCTGTAGCTGCTGTAAATGCATTGTTGATTGTCATGAAGAAACTAGTTGAAATTAAGTTTCACATTTGTATACAGTAATGAGAGATTTGTTTTATGTTAAATACTGAATGCATTGGATAAGTACCTGATGATGAATTCCAAAATTATGAAAAAACACAGTGATGACTTTTTCCCATTAGCTCCCTGAAGCTAAAACTGATATGTGCTTTATTAATTTGGGGTAATCAATCGCTTGAAGTTCTTAGGCCTACTGGGGACCACGGGCCAGAACCTGGCCCCCTCAGAGAGGCGCAGGGAGCAATGGCGTATGATCACTTTCCATTTAAAGTATGTCATGTTCCGCCATCGACTGAGGTATTTACCCAGAAAGATAGGCTAACCAAAACAAACTAGCAGGTAAAATTGCGACCTACAGCGCGACAGAGCTAAGAAACTCCTCCTAAAGAAAAGAATTGAAAAGAAACTAGCAACTTTCCACTCTAACCAGTACTCCCGCTCGTTAGCTAAACACCCCCTTCCCCGACCATGGGGAAAGTTAGAGCCTCTTCAGTTCTCGTCTGATATGCTTCGTGGTTGGAAGTTGCCTCTGGCCTTGCTTTCCTGTCTGGATTTTGCCCTGTGTGGCTGTGCTAGTTGTGTGTGTGGTGTGGTGTGGTGACCAGGTGTTCTTTGTACTTGGAGCTGTTTGCGCCCTGGGTACCCTTCCCAAGGTGCTCCGTAAGTATACCCTTGTGGGTCAGGGTTGCTTTCCTGAGGGTTCGGGACTCTCTCCCCATTTGAGGGCTGCTTTGCTTGACGTAGTCTTTGCCCTTTGGGTATGTTTGGGGTCTTGGGCTTTTCGTCTTGCCCCCAGGTAGGGGGGAGTATTTTTTGCTGGAGGGGGGGGGGAAAGGGTCGCTGTGGCTTGCGCAGTCTGCTTACACTTATGTGATGGCCGACATTTCTCTCCGATTGCCAGTTTGCTTGGGGTGTTGTTTTGTGGCGTGTTACTTTTTCATTTTGGGTGTTTGCCCTGTTTTGATGGAGATCTGCTTAGTGGCTTATTTCGCTAACTTAGGTTGTGTTGGCCCTCCTCCGTTGTCCCAGAGGTTTCACCACTGCTACTGGTAGTCAGTTTGTCAGCTTTCAAGCAGGGGATCTACCGGCATAACATGCCACAGTGCCTAGGCTTCCCGTAGGTCTAACGTACCATGCGGGGCCCTGGTAAACCTCGTGGGCTAGGTTGGTAATGTGTATCTGTCGGTCCACTCTTGCCTTGTGCGATGTTGACAGTTATTTGACGCTTCTGCCTTGGGGGAACCATCACCTTTCCTACCTCTGCCATGCTGCCTGTAGGGTCACTAGATTGGGATGAGGCTCGGGTAGCTTTGTGGGTTGTCCTTTCCAATTTGGGCATGGTGGTGGTTTCGCCAGTTCTTCCCGGCGAGGCTTCCAGTTCATCTCGGCCACCCTCCTCCTTGGAAGTCTTTTCCTTGGACTCTGCCTTTTCTTCAGGGGTGGTGGGCATGGAAGAGAACCGTGCCCCAGGTTCTTAATTGTGGGCTTCCGGGGCTCGGGGGAGGTGGGGGGGAGTCCACTTGAAGTGATTGGGCTTTTGACCCAATCACTACTTGGGCCCTTGTGCCATCCGGGCAGAGATTGTTGCTTGAGGGGAAGGGGTTTTTGTATCTTGTCAACGTTCCATGGCCTGTCCAGCCTTGTGTCGCTTTGGGCGTCTGTCGCAGCCGACGGTTCCTTCTTCGCATTGATACATGTGGTGTTGCCACTTCCTGAGTAAGTCACTGTTTTCCTTCTCCATGGGTAGTTAACTTCAGGGAGTCGACGGGGCTTCCCCTAGAAAGTTAACGTTGAATGTAATGAAATGCCCTTTTCTGGGGGTGGCCTTGGAGGCTCCCTGACACCCTCCCTCTGGTCGGTGGTTTTCCATCAGGCTTCAAAATGAGGGGGTAGGTGGTGGGCTCGCCTGAACCGGCTCCCCCTTGGTCAAGGGGGGGCGGGTTCTGCTAACGAGTGGGAGTACTGATTAGAGTGGAGAGTTGCTAGTTTCTCTCCATATCTCTTCTTCAGAAGTTTCTTAGCTCTGTTGGACTGCAGGCCGCAATTTTTCCAGATAGTTTGTTTTGATTTGCCTATCTTTCTGGGTAAATGCCCTGATTGATGGCGGAATATGACACACTGTACTGTACATTAAATGTAAAGTGATCATACGCCATTGCTCCCTGTGCCTCTCTGAGGGGGACCAGGTTCTGGCTCGTGGTCCCTGGTAGGCCTTAGAACTCGGTGACTGATGCCCCCAAACTAATAAAGCTCATATCGGTTCGGTTAGCTTCAGGGAGCTGAAGGGTCTCCCCCCAGAAAATGGCGTTTCATTACATACAATGCTGGCTTTTAGATTTTGTTCAGCAAGGCGACATTTTTATACATTGTGAAACAGATGTGACATTAAGATATAGTCAACCAACTAACATTTTATCCAGATATCGTGCACTGCCTCTTAACTCCGAAGGAGGACAACCAATGGGACATCCCTGGGATGACTTACCCAGGTATATAAGCCACTAGATGTACTAGAAATCTAAAAACTCTGTACTGTTAATGAGATTTATTTTGTTATAAGTTATAAATATCTCTGACTTTATAAATATTTGCACATTAGATTACTCGTTCATTCTCGAAAGCTTTCAAGTCCCATCAGATTTTAAATTAACCGGTTGGGTTTTTGGATGATTTCAGTAAACTTGCATGAAACATTTGTTTTTGTATCAATAGTACAATAGATTACATATTTTGTTAGCCTTCATATTTCAGGCCAGTGCCATATCTAATTACAGGGGCCAAATCATCATGGGAATGCATCGGCCTGGATGGCGAGCGTGTTCCCAATGGGGAGACGTTTGTCCCGGGTCCTGACTACTGTACTGTCTGCAAATGTGATGAGGGCAAAGCTCGGGTGTGTCAAGCTGTTCTCTGCCAGCCACCACAAGTATGTAATGAAGCTCCCGAGTAGTAGGACTTGCATCATGACTGCCGAGTAATTTGTATAACTGTATTTTCTGTGCCAACCCTTTCAGTAGCTCTCTAGTGTATAATACTTTGGTTGTGTAGTTCCCCTTGTGTAATATAATTTTGCATAATTTTTTTTCTGTATATATAATTAACACATTTATTGTAATAATTAAAGTGTATTACAGCAAAGCTTCATAAACAATACTAAATAACTTCTTAAAATATTTGAAGATGAGAAGTCTTACTTCAAAATCTAATGTGGGGGCACTGGATTTGATGAAAGTAGATTTAATGAAAGGGATTTTTTTTTTAATAGGAGATGCTTGTATTTTCAATACTTTGTATATTGCATATTAACAATTTCTCCAATATCAACAGGATTGTAAGTCCTTTCGCTTGGGTCAGAAATGTTGTGACTTCATCTGTCTGGATGACATGCTTCCTAACCTGCCAGATGGCAATGGAAACAATCAATCCACAGATTTAGGGCTGCGTATGGTAGCTTCTGCTGTAACTGCAATACTGTCCCTTGCTCTGCTGCTGTTTCTTATACATAGACTCAGGCAGCGCCGGATAAGAGGTTTGTAAAGTGACTGTTTAAGAATACTGTGCTCTGTATGGTTTAATTTTATATGTATGTACTGTACTCGCTTACTTGTACTCGCCTAGTTGTGCTTGCAGGGGTTGAGCTTTGGCTCTCTGGTCCCACCTCTCGACTGTTGATCAACTGGTGTACAAATTTTGAAGCCTGTTGGGCTCTATCATATCTACATTTGAAACTGTGTATGGAGTCGGCCTCCACTACATCACTGCTTAATGCATTTCATTTGTTTACTACTCTGACACTGAACAAATTCTTTCTAATGTCTGTGTGGCTCATTTAGGTACTAAGTTTCCACCTGTGTTCCCTTGTTCGTGTTCCATCCGTACTAAAGAGTTTGTCTTGTCCACCCTGTTAATTTCCCCTGAGAATTTTGTAGGTGGTTACCATGTCTCCCAGGGATGTGAGGTTTACCTCCCTTAGCCTTTCCTCGTAGCTCATACCTCTCGGTTCTGGGACTAGTCTGGTGGCATACCTCTAAATCTTCTCCAACTTTGTCTTGTATTTAGGTATGGACTCCAGGCTGGAGCTGCATACTCCAGGATTGGTCTTACACAAGTGGTATACAAGGTCCTGAACAATTCCTTACACAAGTTTCTAAAGGCAGTTCTTGTGTTGGCCAATCTAGCATATGCCGTTGATGATACCCTTTTGATGTGGGCTTCTGGGGGCAGGTTTGGTGTGATATCAATCCCCAGATCTTTCTCTCTATTTGACTCTTGCATGATTTTACTTTCCAGATGGTACCTTGTGTTCAGCCATCTGCTCCCTTTGCCTAATTTCATTACTTTACACTTTCCTGAGTTACACTTTGAGCTATTTTGTAGACCATTCTTTCAGTTTGTCTAGGTCATCCTGTAGTCTCTTTTCCTTTGAATTTAGGCCTTCTCTTAAACCTTCTATTTTCTCTGATTTTCATTTCTTCTGCTGCTCTGTCCAACCTAGATATTTCTTTTTCTAAACACCTGAAAATTGTTATGGACTTACTATCTGCAGTATTTTGTACTAGTTTACTATAGGTTACCAGTTCTTTCTTAATTGCTCGCTTAAATTCTGCTTCTTGTTTGTCATTTCTGGTTTTGACTTCCAAACACACTTCCTTGATCGTCTTTCTCTCTTTTACAAACTTGTGCATACATCTTTCATTTCTTCTTTATACTTTTCTAGGTCTTTATTAACCTCCTCTATGTCAGTTGTCAATGAAGTTTCTCGTTGCATATCCTTGCCTAACTCCATGTTAGCCCTAAGGGTACCTTGGAGTTGTAAACCATATGAGCATATTTTCTTGTTTATTTCTTGTACATTATTTACTTTTAACATTCCCTCAACCTTTACGTAACCTGGGACATCACTCACACCCTCAACCTGTTCCCAGTACTTAGGTAATTTTATATTCCTGGTGCTTGCTGCAGTTTACTCCTGCCTCCTCGTTCCTAATAAGGCAAATAGGACACTGGGATTTATTTATCTAAGTGTTAGTAATAAGACACCTGGTGTTGTTCTTCAGCTATATCTTACTCTGGTTAAAATGAACAAATCCACAAGGGCTTTGATGAGGGTTCAAACCTATGTCTGAGAGGGTCTCAGGCGCGGTTAAACCGACTGTGCCACGACACGGTCAAAAGAATGAGGTTCGAACCCTCATCACGGCCCCTGTGGATTTGTTCATTTGATGCATCACGCTATTGTGATTTCTGTGTATAATGAAGTAAGGGTGAAGAATTAGAACAGCTTATTGACAGAGCCTGTGTGTACGGGGGGAATTGTGTAAAACTCTAGTTTGTGTCTCAGAGAGACTGCAGGATCCGTGTGAGGGCAGATGGATTCTCGGTTGTAATTTTTTTGACCGTGTCGTGGCACAGTCGATTAAAGCGTGTCTGGGATCGTCTCGGACATAGGTTCGAACCCTCATCATGGCCCTTGTGGATTTGTTCCTTTGATGCATCAGGCTATTTTTATTTCTGTGTGTATTGCTCTGGTTAGGCCACATTTAAATTATGCAGTTCAATTTTGGTCGCCGTACTATAGAATGGATGTAAATTTGCTAGAACGCATCCAGTGTAGGATGACAAAGTTAATCCCTCAAATTAGAAACCTGTCATGAAGAAAGATTGACAGAGCTTAAATTACATTCTCTAGAAAGGCGAAGAACTAGGGGTGACATGATAGAGGTGTACAAGTGGATGAATGGTCATAACAAAGGGGATATTAATACGGTATTAAAAGTATCAACACAAGACAGAACACGAAACAATGGGTATAAATTGAATAAATTTAGATTTAAGAAAGACCTGGGTAAATATTGGTTCAGTAACAGGGTTGTTATTGTTGAACCAATTACCATGTAACGTGGTGGAGGTGGGGTCCTTTGATTGTTTCAAACATGGGTTGGACATGTATATGAGTGGGATTGGAGGGTTATAAATAGGAGCTGCCTCGTATGGGCCAATAGGCCCTCTGCAGTTACCTTTATTCTTATGTTCTCGCCTGCAAACCAGACATTGTAAACAAGGGACTTCTTTTCAATGGAGCACTTGAATTTAACAACAACTTCCACTTCAACTCTGGAAACAATCAATTGATTGTTAGCCAGGAAGAGATCCTTCTCTGAATACAGTGGAACCTTGGTTCTTGTAGTGTTTGGTTCTCGTAGTAAATTTCTAGATTCGGTTGTGGTAGTTTGCCTCGAGGGTCATAGTTTGTTTATACACGAACGGGTTCATAGCAAGCGTGGTGCTTCAGTTTACCAGTGTCTCCCGTCTAGTAATGTTCGTGCTTGGATTCTTTGAAGAATTTCATTGATTTTGTGCTTTTTTGGTTTCTGAATATTAAAGTTTTTATTATATATCACGCTATGGGTTCCAAGAAAATCGATGGTAATGTTCAACCTAAGAAAATAGTTGAGGATGATGATAGAGGAAAAACAAGAGATCATTCATAATGAGGCAGTGTGATGTCTCACTACAGACAAGTGTTAAAACATAGGGAAGACAAATGTCTATACAGTAGACAGATTCTTAGTAAGACAAGCAAGCAGTGAGCCACAATCAGGTCCTAGTGGTATGCTGGCAAAACGAAGGAGTGAGAGTACCCCAGAAAAGTCATCACTGCCTGATGTTATAATGGAAAGGGACTTCCCTTCCAAACACTAACACCTACCTCTCCTGCTCACCGTCTTCCATACGCCAACGAGAGTCCTCATTCAAGGTGAGATAAGCAGATGACAAGTGACAAGCAGCCCCATCTATGAGCTCTTGGATGGCTGGAAATGATGCATATCAATGAATTTTTGTTTCAAGATGCTAATGATGCTTGGCTGTAAAGAGATGAATGCTGTAATGTTGCAAAGCATTGAATTGTTTCTTTTAGAAAATGAAAAAAAATGAAAAAATTTGAAAAAATGAAAAATGTCAAAAGGTTTGTTCAGTGTATGTCAGGTAGGCTGCTCCGTTTTCTATGAACAAAAAATTGAATTTCATATTAATGTTTTTCAGGGGTATTGTGCTGTATTTTAGCTAATATAAAATGAGTGTCATTCGGTATAAAATACGTTTTTAAGTTAATATTTTTAGGGGTGTGGAACGGATTAATTCAATTTACATCATTTCTTATGGGAAAATTCATTCTGGTTTTTGTACCGTCTCTGGGTATGGATTAACTACAAAAACGAAGGGAGCACTGTAGTTCCTTTGGTGACGGTCTACTATCCTGAACCACCCCGAGATCTCTTTCTTTGTCATAGTTCTTTAATGCCTCTTCACATAATTTGTAGGTTGTGTGGGGCCTATGTTCTCTTATTCCACATTCCATAACATGGCATTTGTTTACCTTAAATTCCATTTGCCAAATGTTGCTCCCTGGAGGTCATGACAATAGTCAAAGTCTCTTGTCTTCCCTAGTACTGTTGCTTAGCATTATCAGAAAACATGTTCATATAATTCTGTATTCCTTTTGTAAGATCGAGTATGTAAACAATGAACATTACTGGTGTTGGGACTGAACCCTGTGATACTCCACTAAGTAACATTTCTTTAGTCAGATACATTGCCTTTGATTACTGCCCTCATTTTTCTCTTGGAGAGAGAGAATTGCAATCTCAAATTTGGACACACACATCCTCTGCACCTCAATCATACCACACTACCACCACAATCACACCACACCATCACCACACAGGAGACATTCCAGATTCATCTTCCATTATAAGATGAATGCTCTGATAATAGATCACAACATATTTTCTCTTGACTTCACTGCTAGTTGAAGCCCTAAACAACATATTTCCTGCATTTCCAGACGCACTAGTAGCAGGATGCAAAAAATATGCACCAATATAAAACAATGAGCGAAGGAGGGTTTTGTCTGCCGCAGGTAAACAAAAACAAACAGCAAGCGCCACCGGCTACATCGGTGGTCGGCCGCAGAACTACATAGATGGTCATTGGTCGGATCACAAACGAATAGATGGAATAAACGAATGATTGAGGTCCGGCCGTTAGGTCAGGGAGTGTATGTTTGAGGGTTTGGTCACTTCCTGTATACAATACCATTTTTTGTCTTTTCAGACCCTCTTGCAATTTCTGTCGTACTAATCCAGTTTTCTAGTTCTGCATCTCTGTTTTTGTATAAATTTATTTATGCATCTTGATATGCTTCACAAAACTTGCCATACATCTCATTTACTTCCTTGCATAACAAGAAGTCTTTGTGTGTATGTTAGCGTGTGTTTGTTAGTACTGTACAAATGCTGTACTGTTATTGTTTAATATTAGGATTCACTGATACTAAAGTTCAACTTACAATCTTGCAGCTCAGCAGCAGTATTATGAAGATCAATTGGACTCTCCAGTAGGACCCAACTACCCAGACCCTTGTCACAATAATGCATGCTGCCATAATGCTGCATATTGCAATGGTAATGACCATGTGGATTTTTTCTTAGATGGTCATACACCACCTTATTCACTGTGGAAGCCTCCTTCATTTTACTTTCCACATGAAGATGCTCCCCCACCATATAGTGAAGTGGTGGGTAGTTCGTACAGACTATCGGAGGCCAGTAATTCTTTGCCTGCACTGGGCCCACTTATGGTACAACTTGGACCACCACCTGGCGAGTCGTCAGATACCAGTGGCGGGGCTTTAGCATTGATTGGTGCCATTGGTGGCAGCTATAGAAGGCCCTGCTCTTCTTCACATACTCTTCACAACATCTATTCTGAAAGTGCAAAGGGAAGACATGTCGCACTTAGATCTGATGAAATGTACGAGGAAGTTGATGGTATTCCAGAGGACCTTCCTCCTCCATACTATCCCCCAGTACAGCCTTTAAATGATCTCAACCGTGTCAGTGAGGCAAGACCTGTGGAAGAAGTGGTGCCTGTTTGTAATGATGCTGAATGTTCAGGTGTTGCAGCAACACAGGAGTGTGTGTGTGGTGCCAATGATCCTAGCTGCAGTCTGTGTGCTGTGCCTGAACATGATGCCACTAGCAATGATAAAACAGTACAACAGCCCTCAGTGTCTCCGGTAAGGTAAGCAAAAAAAAAAAAAGTGTTACGATTATTGTACTCTGATTTAAGGTAATTTATAATTGTGAAGCAATGTAGTAATGTGGAAGAAACTTTACTTTCTCACTTTAAATATGTTTAGTAAATATGCAAAAAGTCAAATACACATTTGATACAGTTTTGTAGGGAATTGTAGTTAATCCATTAAAATCTTTTTTTAACATTTTAACTACTCTTTTATTCCAAAAACCACTGGGGATTAAAAGTAGTTAATCCCCAGTGGCTATCTATGTTTGTTATCCCTAACATATCCCTATATTTTGTTATTTTTGGGGGTTATTTTTTCTTGACTTCATTTCAACACTCATGGACCTATAACTTTCACATAGTTGAGTACAAATGCCAAGCAGTCTTTTCAACTTTGAGACATCTTCAAAAATTCAGTTTCTGACCAATTCTCACTATTTTTGTGGGGAGCCCCTACGGCTCCGTGGAGCTTATCGGGCTAATGTATGTTATATTAGACCAGGACATTAGCTAAGGAGTTCAGACCTATCAGGGACCAGCACCAGAACCTGGCCCCTTCAGAGAGGTTTCAGGGAGCAATGGCCCTGGATAACCCCCCTTGTGGTTGGGGTTTTCCTTATCTGCCATCGACCGGGGTAGGCACCCAGAAAAGTGGGGTGTTGGGTTTACCGCTTTCGTTGCCTTCCCTTCGGTTTGAATCTGGCGCCTCGTGTCTTTGCACGCCTTACTTAGGTTGAGTGGCCCGCCTGCGTCTGTTAGGTATTCGGGTTCTACCTCCTTCGACGACTAGCTGGTTTGGGCTACCTGCCAGTCTGCGTGTCTGATTGCCAGGGATTTGGCTCTTTCCTGGCTGTCTGGGTTCGGGTTCTTGGTGAACTTGCGGAAGTCCCATCTGGTTCCCTCTAAGGTTTCAGGCGATGCTTGCTCAGTGTCCGAACCCAAGGGTCTTCCCAAGGCTCTACTTCTTTCAGCAGATCAGTCCAGCCCGTTACGAGGTTGGTTCATTCTTCTCCTCGAGTCTTCGCATCTGGAGTTTTGACTTGAGTCTCCCATCACTTGTATGGAGCGCAGGTGGCTTCATTGTTGGTCTCCCACCTGTGTGACTCGTCTAGGCGGTAGTATAAAGTTTCCTGGTTGTCCTTTCAGTTTTTCCTATCACTGTGTAGGTGTACTTCGGTCTCTGATAGGGATGTCTTGTCCTTCCTTTTGTGGTTTCAGGACCGTCAATCTCATGCCTAATACTGTCGCCTCGTATCGTGTGGTGCTAGCGAAGCCGCTCCAGCTTGCGTTCGGTATTGATGTTACGTCTGCTCTGTTCCGCAAGCTGTCTTGTGCATTGTTTCACCTCCGTCCTGCTCATGCGCCGCCTGGCCATCCTAGTCTTTGAACTAGGTGCTCTCCTTTTTCTCTTCTCTTCGGTTGTTGTTGCCCCTTCGGTTCTGGTTTGTTTTCCAAAGACTTTTCCTGTTGGCTTTGGCCTCTGGGGGTCGGGTCTGGGAAGCTTCATGCTCTCCTCCATTGCTGGTGTTTTTCTGCTAATTTGGTTCTGGTGGTAGATTGGTTTGTTTGCAGCCGCATCCTTCTTATCTGGCGGTGAATGGGTAGGCTGCTTTGCGAAGGGGTCCTTGGGTGGATGTTGCTTGGTTGGCCAGGCCGGGGGGCATCATGTGTTGGTGTTCGGTTGCAGCTCTCCGCTGTTCTCTGCGCATCATGGCTTCTGTGGCCGTGGACGCGCTTTAGGTTGCCCGGGTTCCCCTTCCTTCCGTCCTGTTCCAGGGTTCGGGTCTCCCGGGTCGTCCACAAGCTCCTTCGGTTTTGCCAGTTGTCTTGCTTTTGTGTTTAGGGTGCATGGCATCTGCCTCCCGGGTCCTTCCCTCTCTTTTTCCTTATCTTTGGTGAGGTAGCTCCAGGGAGCCGACGGGACTCCCCCCGGAAAACCAGCGTTGAATGTAATGATACTCCAATTTCTGGGTGAGTCCCAGAGACTCCTTGGCAACCCTCCCTCCTTCCGGTCCGTGTGTTTTTTGCATGTTTTGACATCCAGCCTAATAACTGACGATTAGATTGCCGGCGTGAGGGTCTGGGGTTCCCCCTTCCCCCTCCCGGGGAGGGGGGGGTTAGGCAGACAGCGGCATGGCAACATGATGACGTCACACTTGTTTGCTAATTTTCGTTTGGGGGAGTTCTGTCCACGCGTTTGGGTTTCGGTAGCAATATTTTCACCAGAATAGGGATTTTTGGGGCGCCTACCTTTCTGGGTGCCAGACTCGGTCGATGGCAGGCATATAATGCTCCCAACCACACGGGGTTTCTATAGGCTATTGCTCCTCGTGCCTCTCTGAGGGGGCCAGGTTCAGGCTCGTGGTCCTCGGTAGGCAAGAACTTCATGCACTTTGATGCCAGAAAGATATTAATGCCATATCAACCTGGATAGCTCTGCGGAGCCTCCGGGACTCGCCCAGAAAATGGTGTTTCATTACTTTCAACGCTGTTTTTTTTTTTGTCGCTTTGCTTGATCAGTTCCATCTATTATGGAGTCATGAGGGCACTCAAAGTAAGAATGTTAGAGAAAGGCACAAACCTTGTGTAGCATTTATATCCAATATGAATAATATTGGATAAATTATTATTATTAACATCTTTATTGACAAAATTTATATTACAATTTTGCTTAATCTGAGGAATTTAACTAGGTCTTATTAGAGTGAGGATAATGCTGGTATTCACTGTCACACAGGGTAGAGGATCATACACAAGACAATAGATCTAAACTGTAAGATGAAGCACACACTGTATATATATTATGGTTATAATCAATGTTTCAATGTAGGAATATGTAAATACAACTTTTTATTGTGCACTGCCTCACAAGGGCAGGGATGGGTTCATAAGAAATGCAGCTTCATAATAATATAAATATAATTGTTCTTCATTCTTCAATGGATAAGCAAATTTTTGATAAATTGTTAGTATGCCGTCCAGTACACTTAATTCAATGAAATAGTTACACAGTTGGTGGTACAATAGGCCAGGAGGTCTAAAATCTTTTATGGTTTCACTTTCAACAATATAGTGTTCTAGCGAATGCATTGAAGGTTTGTCACAGTTTACAATCTGAATATTCTGGTAGTGGCTCTGCCTCACTAACCTGTCAAATGTGCCTATAGCTAAGGTGAATTCGTGCAGTGACTACATCACATTGCCTGGTCCGGTTACTGTGCTGACCATACAAATACCTATTATTACTGGAAATATTGGCCTTTTTATATCCACTATGAATAATATTGAACTGGTAATTTCATTTTGATGTACATAGATGATAATTTAGCTGAGAGTGAAGATGATTTGTGTAGACTAGTGGTACAGTACATGTTGTTTATGAGCTGTAAAAATAAAAAATTAGAGCAATTAAAACTTGACAGTCTTGAGAAGCACGTGTTAGGAAAATAGAGTAAAGCTTTAGAATATTATTCATGTTCAGCTTTTGCATGCTGTTACACTATTGTACGAGTGCAATAGTGCAACAGAATGATTGAGGCGAGTATGCTGAAATGGTTTTGGCATGTTGACCAAACTACAAATTGTTAATATTGTACCTCTACCCATTTACTAAATTATTTGCCCTTTTACTCTAATTGCTCCCCATTCCACAGAAAGCAACAAATTTATTGATAATGAATACATAAAAGAATTATTATTTATTGTATTGCTTTTCATATTCTAGCATTTTGTTCCTGCCAATACTAGTCTCTAGTTGTACTTCAGTTTGGCATCACATATGATTTAGATTTAGTATACTGTATATATTCCCGTTCTTTTAGGATGCGTTCTAGAGAGCATCGTTCATCAGTGGTTCAGAGAGAAGGTGACCGTACCTCTACCTTGGAAGAGTTTCAGCTATGCCTCGCGATGGATATATCAGATTCATCAACCTCGTCTGATGTTCCTACACGAACATTTTCCTCATCTTCTGAAGATTCTACCTCCATGGACACAACATCAGAAATGCGGTGAATTGTGAAGCAATTAGTTGATGTTGGGATGTTAGTCATTAAATCAAATTTGACTGTGTATAAAACAAAAAAAATTCAAACATATGAACATCTTGAGTGCTCCACGAAGAGTCATTTGTCATGGCTAATGATGTGTATTCTGTCATGGGGATTCATCCAGGACATGCAGTAATGTTTTTCAGGAAGTGCTCTGTTCAGCATGGTTCAAAGGTAACGTTCAGATATGCACCTGGAAAAGTTTATCATTCACATTTAAAAGTTTAAATTAGAACAAATGTTAGAAACATTATATGAATTCTCCCAGCTTTGTACAGTATATATCCTAAGAAATTAATAAGGTTTAATAGCATATGTTAGAAACAAATTTAACATTTAATTTTATTTCCTTAATATTTAAGTTATCATGCACTTCTTCTTAGTGTTATGACATCCTGTGAAATATATACCATGTTAATCTTCAACTTGACCAGCAAGGTGAGTGGGTTATAGCTTAGTGTCTCAGCATGTCAGGGAATGTACAAAATTGTTGAGTACAGTACTTTTTGTTGTTGTAATCTATTAAGGTGGTGTGCACATCTAAGGATGAAGAATTTATGTAATCATTAATCGCTGCACTTTTGCAATGTTTAACAATATATGTGTAATACTGGTCGTGATTCTTGTATTAACGTGGCTTGCATTCCGTGAACGTCAACTACAGCACGAGAGACTGGACATATAGTGTTACAGTTGACATTGTCTCACGTCTCTTGATGTGAAAGATTTTCCCATCATTTCTTGAACTGATTGCAGTGTAGTTGACAACGTTAGGCCAGTGTATAACAATTTAAGAGTTTACAAATGATGTGTACATTTTTTTTTTTTTTAATCACATACAATGTGTGTGATGCTTCAGTGTGAGCAGCTAGCACCAAGGTTATAATCACAGCTGCAACCAGCATGCAATCTTGTGTATTATGGACTGGTGTTGATTGAATTCTTAGCTTTAATTGATCACATTTGAGAGATGAGGTAAATTTATGAACATGAGAATATTAAAAATGTGTGGTGTAATGAGCAAGTCATTATTGAATTTAGTGTTAGTAAATCTATATACTGAGCCATCCAGTTTAATAATAAACTTATATTTTTTATGAATGAATTTTTTTTCTTGTAATAGAATACAACCACTGGGTTAAGAGTTTTTTAATATTTAATAGTACTGTAGTAGCCCATTTGGATAATATATTTGAAGCCTTATATTAGTATGACATGTCGCTAGGATGTGTGTGGATTTTTGTTTCTAGTATAGTAATACAGTTGATACAGGGCAAATTTCTGAAGACAGCTCTCTTGGTAGCTCCTCAAGCTTGGGCTAGGTCCTCCCAGGACTGCACAGATCCCAGGCTCTTGTGGATCTGTGCACCCTACCATCATGACAATGAACTGAAGAAATATTTTGAACACCCCTCCTCCCTTTTTTTTTTTTTTTTTTTTTTTTTTTTAATAGATAACCAACTACTCGCTACACTGGTAACCAGAAGATGGTAATGACACCACTAACATAAGTGTCGGAGGAACAGATAACCCTCACTTGTAGCTTAGAGATTACCCAAGCTGCTACCAGATCTTCAGTGGCTTATTCAAGTTGACCAACTTTACATAAATTTTCATCTCTACACAGGGGTTCCATTACAATAGCATTCACTTCACTCACAGCATTGTGTTAAGCTGTTTGCATACCTCTGTCTATTCTTTCCCACTACAGTTTTGTTTTAGGGTTCTTCTCTTTCCAAGCATTCATTTAGAAAAAAACAGGGTTCTCATTTAAGTTTATTGCCATTGGTATAACTTTTAGCATGGTTTAGTTACGAATTGGGAGTCTTTATATTGATGGTGTCTTCTGGGACAATTTGTGCACAGAATCTCAAATTTTTCTGTGGTGGTACTCTTATAGTAAAATGTTTCAATTGAGCATGCAAGAGTTTCTTGCTTTATTCTTTTTCTCCTTTAGACAGTTGCTTCCCTGGCCATTCCAGGTCGTTCATGGTATTGTGCTTGGCGAGTGCATATCAAATACGTACCTCTTGCATCTAGACTGCCATTTTGGGCTATGCTGCAGGATTGGTTGGTCTGGTTTGTGTGTTTCAGGGGGTTTATTTCTGTGCTAGATCCCTACTGACTGGTGAGGCCTTTTGGCCTTTTCCTGGTGTTGATCATGTTTCTGCTGTGGATAATTCAGTGTGTTTGCCAGAACAGTGTTGTGATTGGTCAACCCGTTCTCGCAAATTCGTAAAGTCAATATTGACTTATTAACTACGTGCATAGGTGATATACTAAACATAATAGATACCCCTAAAAAGATTCATAGAAAACACCGACCTTACCTAACCTTGTTAGTATCTTAAGATAAGCATCTTATCGCTTCGTAATTACAATTATTACTTAACCTATACCTATTATAGGTTGGATAATAATTGTAATTACGAAGCAATAAGATGCTTATCTTAAGATACTAACAAGGTTAGGTAAGGTCGGTGTTTTCTATGAATCTTTTTAAGGGTATCTATTATGTTAAGTATGTCACCTATGCACATATTTAATAAGTCAATATTGACTTATTAAATTTGCGAGAACGGGTTGGATTGGTATACATGTATCCCAGTTAGGCTAACGATCTCCACTGGCTGCCCCTATCTTGTATATAATATTGTTTAGTTTGGTAAGGTGTAACCCAGACCCCTCAAAAGAATACTCAGAATCCTGTTGTTTTGGATGATTTTGAACCATTATTGGACTTTCCAGGTTATTGAGCCACCTGGGTCTGCCGTGTCTTGCTCAAGACCAGTGTTTTGGAATCCTTCAGCATTCCTTATTTCTGGTTGTTCAGCTTTTGCAGGCAGTTTCTGTTTGTGTGGGTCTGTTTCTCAACTGCTTCCTTTCCGTCTTCTGAAGTATTGACTTCCGGGCATGCTTGGGTAGTCTGGAATTTAGGTGAGGGTTGCCTGCTCCTTCAACCTTGTGGTGGTTGGGTTGCCATCTAGTACTGATGATTGAAGTGAATACAATAGGTGGCTAACTGGTAGTTAGAGATAATTAGCTTCTCATTATGGAGGACTGAATATCATCTGTTGTATTTCCCAACCAGGATGGCAAAACCATTTGAAAAGATTCTTGTCACTGCGAGGCATAAGTTGGTGAGTTCCTAGCTTATATTCAGTGTCCTTGGTGGGCTCTGGCATAAGGAGTCACTGAGGGACTGTTCAGAAAGAAGTATTTCATAATACTGTACTCGATGCCCCATTTTTATTTTAATTATAAATAAGATTTGATCTAAAAGTTCCCATACTGAATAGTGTATTGTGCAGAAACAAGGTTTTGTAAAAAGATTGACATTATCTGAATGCATGCCTGGTGTCTTATGGTTCATTCAGTCAATGATTTTGCAGTTTTATCATTTCTTTCCATTAGTGCATAGTAGGCTGGAGATTGTACTTGTTGATATGTGATGTTGAAAAGAACAAAGAAATGTTAGCTGCTGTATTTTCATGTGTTTGATGCATTGTTATTGTTTCACTTCACAAAATCAAAGGGTGAATGAAGATTTCTTTTGAATGGTTCATGAGATGTTGCAAGATAATCATGCAATAATATTGGCAGTCTTGTCTTGCGGAAGTAACGGCAAGCCTTCATCAGTGTGCTACTTGCCACAGCCTACTTGGTAACGAAGTCATTAGATACCAGCTATGCCTTAAGGTAATGCATTTTTCTTTTGCAACCCTTGATGTTTGTATAGTATGTTTGGGACTTCAGATCATACCTTGTATGTTTCAAATGAATTTATAAGAATTCAGTATTATATTTTTAATGTATACTGTAATTCTCTGCCTACCTGTATCTTGCTGCCTTTCCTATATTCTAAACAGTGATACAGAGAAACTTTCTTAAATGTTCGGGTACTATCCATTCAGATGATTGCCAAAGGTTTGACAGGATTGCTAGAAATATCTACTTAAATTGTCTGTATAGTGATATGCCTGGCAAAAGATGGCATTTTATTCCGCAGAATTATTGTGGAAGCCAGGACATTGGTTCTGTTTATCAGCACATTATACTTTTAACCTACTGCTGATATTGCACTGATGTACAGGCAAGCAAATACAGTAATAGGTAAATCCGAGTATAGATATTGTCAGTCTGCCTCTTTTATTATGTAGGGCATTGCCACAAACAGGGTTTTGACACAGGTAGGGTATTGCAGTGGACTGTAAACTGACACAGACTGGGCATTGCCACAGACACAAAATGGGAATTTAGGGTGTGAGCTGGTCTTAAAAAAAGTGGGTCGTTTCTGAATATCCCTAAAACTGTTTTTTGTTTTAGTTTAGTACCTTCCTTTCCCCAAAAGTAGAGGATTCGATGACGTGATGATAATACACAGGATATACATACACTGTACTTGGGCTCGGTGGGAGCACCAAAAGTAGCGTGAGGATAGCTTTTGTTGATTTGCTTCATAAGGTAAACTAGACATCAGTTATCAATATATTGTAGTAACGGTCAAATGTTACAAAGTGATGCGTGTAGTTTAACAGAAATTATCTTGAAATATTTGAAACCTCAGTCTGTGTATGGGGCAATAATTTAGGTAAATCTAATAATTATCATACTTCACCAGCATTTCTGAAAGTAGTATTTTATTTTCTCATTTTTGTGAAGTAATGTGATTAGCTGTATTGATGTAAATCTTGGCAAATTTAATGACAATGTTGATGGAGTACTAGTACAACAAAAAATGGTCACAATTTTTCAGATATTGGGAGTTGACGTAACTGGGGAAGTGTGACAAATGAGATACAAAAATACAGCAGAGCAAGTTTGAAGGTGAATCCGATAAAGGAGGGATAGTATAAAGGTTTGGCTTTTGCTGGAGCAGCTGACTGTGAGACAGGTGGCAGGGTGATAGTTGTGGAACAGTGGTGGTGGTGTAGCAGCTGACTGGAAAACAGGTGGCAGGGTGATGGTTGTTGAACAGCTGACTGGAAAACAGATGGCAATAAGGTGGGTGTTTGCAAGTAAAGTGATATTTTAGGGTAAATATAGTACAATACATTTAAGGTTTTTGTAGACTCCTTAATGAAGCTAAACTTCTCTAGGTAATGTTATTGTTTGTATTTGTAACTTATCATAAATGTTTTTTATTATATTTATATAATTTGGCACTATATCATTATTTATAAACCTCACCTCTAATAACCAAGGATTATCAGAAAGGACATGTTATTTACAAAAATGTATTAATACTGCATTTAAGATAATCATTAGAAATACTAGAAAAATGATTTAAGTGCTCATATGTCATTTGCATAGTGTTTTAATAGTTTTTCTGATTTTCATAATTATTTTACATTAAATGTCTTTAGCCTTACTTAAAAAATATATAAGGCTTTGGAGTGTTGTAGATGAAAAGCCCCCTTCTGCGTATGTCACTCTGGTGGGACCTTAAGCAATGTTTTGCTCTCATGGATATGGCAAAGTACCAGCCAGGTCAGTGGCACTTTTACATCCACAATGCAGGCTTTTCAATCCACTTTGCCCAATGTCTCCACTTCCCTTTAGTGGAAGACACACATTGGAGAAGTGTGGGGCCATCAGGAAATGACCTCTAGGAGATTTGTTCATCTATACTTAAATACTGTTTGGAAGATGTATTTTAACTTCAAAGAAATCATGAAGCTTTTCTCTGTTAATAGTAAGTTTACTACTTAACTACTACCCCAACCCTCCAGCACATATATAGCATGTACAAATGGGCACCTGGGAACCCTAACCTTGCCTTCATATGAAATCGCTCGCAAGAGTGTTGGGCATATCAGAACAAAATGGGAGGGTTACGTGAATGACTACGTAGTTGGAATGAGCTTAATATCTACAAAGCTTTATTTCTGAGCTTGGCTCACTTGGTTGATTTCTTAGACAAGAATCTCAGTCTTTATTGGAGAATTTTGCCAGGGCTGAAAAAATTAGTTTTAGGATCCTCAGGTTCTTTGGTATTTTTGTCATTGGTATTAACACTCTATGAAGAGGTTTGTTTGCTTTTAAAAGACAAATGACCAATTAGCACAGTTGTACCCTACCTGACAATCTCTTTCAAGGAGAGTACCACTTGAGGAATGTATTTTGAGTGTAGGTGAAAGTAAATGCTGGAGATTTTGAGATAGGATTAAGAATTCTCAGGTCTCTTACCCTGCATTAATGTGGCAGGTAATATGTAAGGATCCTCCTGCTGTGTTTGGTATATGACTGTCACACTGACATGACTAATATGGTGTTGCTGTGGGAAATAGAGACAGGGCCTATGGCACCAACTTGGTTGGTTGAGCTAAAAAAAAAAAAAGAAAATGCATAGCTTATACTGTTGACAGTGAATGTTAAATTAATTTTGGAATTATATTCAACTGATGAGCACTGGTTCATGTTTCCTTTTAGATACACCTTAGAATAAAGATGTTATGTACTTCATGCTGCTTTGTATAAGATGTCTTTTTTTTTATAAGTAAACTGAAGTAAAACACTTGCTTCATGGAGATTTAATTAGTTTCATTGAAAAATATATAAATAATATAATTTTGTGATAAAACAGCATGCCAGGTATTAATGGAACCTGCTTCTTGGGCAGTACAGTAAGGAGCTTGCCATCATAGTAATCAATATAGAGGAATATTAAAGCTTGAGACCAAAATGTTGGTAATGTAAATGCCTAGAATGGACTACTTGAGTCAAAAGTTATTGGTACATTTAAAAATACTTAATATTTTGTCCCACGAATGACGAAGTATGGCATAAAAAATTTAGTAGACGAATGTCCACCAATAACGCAGCATGGTGTCAAAAATGTTAAAAATTGGCCTGCTTTCGGCCTGGCTGCGGGAGGGAGGCGCTGCAGTTTTGGATATTATATGCATATACTCCTGTAGGGAATTTCATTGCGAATACATTGATACCAAAATGAAAGACCTAGGACCAGAATTAAGGTAACAAAGTTGAAAAGAGTATACACATTTTATTGCTTTTTATTTGCGCTCACAGGGGTAACGCTCCATCAATTTCTCTGTTTGCTATGGGTGGTACGCCGGGCTTTTGGACATTATATGCATGTACTCCTGTAGGTAATTCCATTGCAAACACAATGATACCAAAATAAAAGATCTAGGACAAGAATTGAGGTGGCCAAAGTGAAGAGTGTGTATACACATTTTATTGCTCTTGCACGCTCTCTGATAACACGCTTTCATTTTCTGATTGTGGTGGCTTTATATGCAATGTCCTGTAGAGAATTCTATTGCAAACACATTGATGCCAAATTGAAAAATCTAAGACGAGAATTGATGACAAAGTTGAAAAGAGTATACACTTTTCAGTATTACCATGCTCTAATGTAATGCCAGGCATGCCTTGTGGTGGCGCAGCGCTCTCTTGCGGGTAACCTTGGCTCACTTTCATCTTGTCGGCGGTTGAGCGTGGCGTGGTTTTTGACATTATGTGCATATACTCCTGTTGGGAATTATATTGCGAACCCATTGATACCAAAATGAAAGACCTAGGACGAGAATTGAGGTGACCAAAGTTAAAAGAATGTACACATTTTATTGCTCTTGCGTGCTCCCAGGTAACTCACTCTCACTTTCTCTGTATGCTGCGGGTGGTAAGCTGGGCTTTTGGAATTTGTGGTTTTAGTCCTGTAGAGCATTCTATTGCGAACACATTGATACAAAATTGAAAAACCTAGGATGAGAATTGAGGTGACAAAGTTGAAAAGAGTATACACTTTTCAGTATTACCGCGCGCTCCTGTGGAAGGTTCAAACCCACCCGGGATAGTGGGGTGCTCGCTCGCCCAGAGCGCGAAAGTGTTAAATTCAGATAGTATTATTGTCTTATAATTCAGAGGTCATCAGTCCCCAAAATGTAATGTTTAATTCTGTATATCACACAACTCCATTTTTGCACTTTTGAAGAGAGTTTAGTGGATTAATACTACGTAGGCACTATCCTGCTTGGGTTGGCCCTATATTATAGTACTGTAAAGTTATTTCATTGGCTGGCAGTGAATATGCTTCTGTTTAAGTATTTTCATTTGAAGTCTTTATTCTAAAGCTAGCCACGTTTGTACATTCTCCAACATTATTACATCAGCGACTAATTCCCAGGTGATGTTGATTCCCTCATTTTTCCCAGCTATTTCCCATTAATGCACATTGTACAGTATATTTTTATATTTAGGTTGTCCTCTTATGATTTTCTGTATTTGTGAAATACCTCCTTAATTTTCTGAGTTCAACAGGCTTGGCATTGCCTTTTGACAATTACTCGCTTTCTTAGATGATAGAATACTTCCACAATGTATCAAAGGTTTACTCCCTTTAAGTGCACAAAGAATTCTCTTCATGTTTTGGAAAAGTTCAAGAAGTGTAGAAGAGTGCCTTGAGGCATACTGTTAGCAGGTATTGGTCTAAGACCTTTTGCAATGGTTTTTTGCGTTAAAGCATTCTGCTCCTCATCACAACAGGACTATGCAATGGAAGCATGTGACAAATGGAGTACTAGTGAATGATATGCAGTCAGAGGGTACTTGAGGTAATTATAACCTGCCATAGACTATATAGCTTATAAATGTAGATATTACTATTTAGTCATGCACAAAGGATAGATTGTAGAACACTTGCTATCATAGCTTTATTTTATGTGGAATCATCTTTGTAAGCCAAGCTTTCTATCGTGTACTGGGCAGCCCAAGCAGTTATATCCCACTTAATTATTCATTACAACAAATGTTTGAGTACATTACTGGTATCTTTCTTAAACTTCTATCCCATATGTTGCTTAGTAAAGAAGTAGGTGTTTCTTATTTAGCTAACTGAATGTACAAGGTCACCATACTTTTAGTATGGGATAAAGTAGATTAAATATTTCTAGAGCACATATATACTGTACTTGTATATAACAAACAGATGAGTACTGTATATGTATAATGTATATAATTTTTTAGTTTTAGTCCTATGTTGTATTAATTTTATAAACTTTTGCATTATTAATTATGGTTAAAAATGGCAAAATTGCAAACTTTAAAAAGTGAGAAATTAATTTGTTCAAATTTTGTTAAAAAATGTTAAAATCGATAATTGTCAGTCAAATTGTGAAATATTGCCTCAAGATTAGTAAGTTGGTGCACTTATCATTCCTTTTAAATAAAACCAAAGACAGTCCTGCATTTTCTTTTATTAAATTTCTTTAATGTGTGAATTATTATGCAGTATCTGCATATTTTAGAATCCCAACAAATTAAACTTGTGTACAAGTTGAAAGTTAGATTTTTCTATATTTAATAGCAGTTTGTTAAAAAAAAAAATGATTTACCCACTTTATACCTATTTGATGGGGTTCTGGGAGTTCCTCTACTCCCCAAGCCCGACCCAAGGCCAGGGTTGAAGTGAAATTTATGGTGAGTGGTTACTGTAATTATAATTCCTTGTTTTGTGGGCAAGAACCACTTAACCAAGCTTATCGAGGTCCCCCTTGCCAGTTACTGATGATCTTCCCCAGAATGCGACCAAAACAGTTGCACAAGTCCCTGGTACCTATGTTACTGCTGGGTGAACAAAGGCATCAAGCGTATGGAAACGTGCCCAGGTGTTTCAATGGGATTGAAGCCAGCATGCTTAATATTGTATCGAAGCAGTTCACCATTGTACTAGAGGACTAGTATATACAGTACTGCCGAACATCACATGTAACTGTTTGCTCGAGCTGTGTTATTTTCTGATTGCTTATGCCTCCAAAGTATAGAAAATGATCATATCAAATAATAAAGAAAAAAACTAGCATAGCCTTTGCATATTGAAGCAAATGAGAACTCAAAAAGTGATTATAAAGCACAAAAGATTGAGTTTGCATGAATTTAGAGTGGCCAGCTACTCTAAATAGAACAAATTTTATGTAACTAATGCACTTGCTAATTAAGAAAACCGAGAATAGAATAAAGAAAAATAAAGCACAATACCTGTAGAAGAAAATGGAAATACTGTAGTTACATCAGCACCAGCTGAAATTGTTATATTTGTCAACTGAAGCTTTTTAGTTATTTTTTTCTTTAATGCACAGGAACAGACAACTATTCACTCCTTTTGGCAAGCCCAAAGCTTTCCCCTTGCCATAGCTCATGGTAAGCCCCTTACCCACAATAAATCCCTGGAACACGACCCCTCACTCCTAATTGGTTAACTACCAGGTACCCAATTACTGCTGGGTGAACAGAGGTGAATAGTTAAGGACTGACTCCCAGACAATCCTCCCTGTCCAGGACTGCAATATATGAGGGGTCTTAGCCTCCATACCTGCTTAAAACGCCTATCATTATCAATAATAAAAATACTGTATACTGGATACCATGTTGTAATTAGCCATCCTTTATTATAATATATAATAATGCATTGTGTCAGGGGACAGGATGCCATAGTATATTCGTACACGTTAAGCTTTTATCAAGTTCCCCAACCCCCCCTCCTCCATGGTCGAATTACAGACCCTGCCCAAGATGCAACCCCCACAACAAGCTGACTTAACTCCTGAGTATCTACTTACTGCTAGGTAAACAAAGGCATTAGGTGAAAAGAAATGTGCCCAACCATTTCTCTCCTGCCTGGGATTCGAATCCGCAATTCTCGATTCAGCCCGTCTTCCAAACAAGGACCCAAAAGTGATTTCATACATTCGCCAAACTCCCCGTTTATGAATGAAAAACGGTTTGCACACGACTCTCAACTGATTTCGTTCGAACACTTCCGGAACAAGTGCTTCACTGACGAATTTTGTTCGAATCACAACGCTTCACCCACGTACTACAAATACAAATAATCGCCAACAGAACCTGAACACCTAACTTAACCTATACCTATACTGTATATGCAAAATATGCTATTACAATATTAATTTATATTTGAGAAAATTCCTGTTTTGAATGAACAGCATGTACAAATCTATGAATGCGTCTGTGGGGTCGACTGCTGGATGTAATCAGCCCGTCCTCCAAACAAAGATCCAAAAGTGATTCCATGCACCCGCCAAACCCCCTGTTTATGAATGAAAAACGGTTTACACACGACTCACAACTGCTGACGTTCGAACATATCTGGATCAAGTGCTTCACTGACGAATTTTGTTCGAATCACAACGCTATAAATGCTTCACCCACGTACTACAAATACAAATAATCGCCAACAGAACCTAAACACCTGACCTAACCTATGCCTATATATACACAATATGCCAATATATTATAATATTAATTTATACTTGAGAAGAAAATTCCCGTTTTGAATGAACAGCATGTTAAAATTTATGAATGCGTCTGTGGGGTCGACCGCTGAATGTAATGGACTTGAGTCGAGGACGGGTTGATGTAATGGACTAGAGTCGAGGACGGGTTGCTCGAGTGTGCGTCGAGAACTAACCCGACTGTACTTTTTATTATTATTATTATTATTATTATTATTATTATTATTATTATTATTATTATTTTTCTACCACAGACGTGGCCACACATTTACAATGCTAAGCAGCACGTATACATTTTCTTCTGTCCTCCACGGACGGGGCGAGTGGTCTGTTAAACATATAGTTCAGGGATTTATTGAACAATCAACCACAGAAGAGGGGGGTAAGGTAAGGTAATTATCAAAAGAAGGCACCAAACCGGGAAGGCTATGTACAGAAGAGGGGGGGACTGTAGTGCTTTTAAAATGCTAATCTAACCTACAGACATAAATACATAGATACATTGATTTACGTCTACCCTGCATAAAGTGTTCGATGTGCGACTGGACTACCCGGACCCCTTACTATACTATACATCGCTCAGAATTATATAAATAATTACTATTACATAAACGCTATTAATTCAAAGCATATCCAGTTAATCGCCTTCACTCTTGTGCTACCAGTCACGTGACCAGCCACAGTTTGTATATTTATGTTCAATATAAATAATATTTATATTCAGGTTCGGAGAAACGAGACAATGATGCTCTCTCTAGTTTGTATATTCTCTAGGGTATCGGCCTATCATCTCTGGCAACCGGGGCGTTGCTATGGAAACATCTGACGTAGGCTGGTAGTTCATCTAGACAAAGTACAGTACACACGAAATAAGTTGTCTCGTATGATCTTCATTCAGGTTTTGTAAACGTTGAACATGCATTTAAGCAAAACCAAAAAAAGGATATACCGCTCTTTAATTTATTAGCAAGTTCGCACAGTATTCGATGAGATCGAAGGCACGGATTGCACTGCCAGGCATACGATGTCTACCTAGTAATCATCTCTCATTGCTAAATAAGAATTTAAATACCCATTGAAGGATAAATTTCTGACCTTAAGGGACGACACTTGTGATATAAACCAAGCTTAAGGTTTATAAATGTGTAGATTTAGAGTTGGAGGAGAACAGTGAGAGTAGGGAGCGTAGGGAGAGGATGGGCACCTGGAGTGGTCGGGGGCTGCGCAGAAGCCTGAGGACCTGAGGGAGTCCAGTCTTTCCTGAGAGAGCAGTGTGAAAGATCTCAGTGCCATGGGATAAGTCTTACTTCATCGACCTTTACCGCAAGACAACACACAGTGAGAGTTTGCATGCTGGCGTAATATAAAGACGAGGGGGGATCAAGGGAGGTCTGGGTGTTGACGGAGGTGCAGGAGAGGCGATGGCTATGTTTTGCCAGCTTGACAGAATAAACGCTCGTAGGGCGTTAGGGCTGACGGTCTACCCATGAAACCTCACGCCAGGCGAGCAAGATATTAGGCACACTCCCTACATAGTTCCAAGGATCGAATTAAGGAGTGCCAATACGTGGTGCCAGTGAACTAAAGTGACGTCCTAAAGGGGTGCCATCGAGTGACATCCTATATTTGCTGCTTGGGTAGTGACGTCCTACATGGTGCCAGGGAGTTAATGGCACCCCTACACACGGTGCTAGGCAATGGCACCCCTACACAGGATGCTAGGCAGTGACACCCTACACACACGGTGCTAGGCAGTGACACCCTACACACATGGGGCTAGGCAGTGACACCCTACACACATGGGGCTAGGCAGTGACACCCTACACACATGGGGCTAGGCAGTGACACCCTACACACATGGGGCTAGGCAGTGACACCCTACACACGGTGCTAGGCAGTGACACCCTACACACACGGTGCTAGGCAGTGACACCCTACACACACGGTGCTAGGCAGTGACACCCTACACACACGGTGCTAGGCAGTGACACCCTACACACACGGTGCTAGGCAGTGACACCCTACACACGGTGCTAGGCAGTGACACCCTACACACTGTGCTAGGCAGTGACACCCTACACACGGTGCTAGGCAGTGACACCCTACACACGGTGCTAGGCAGTGACACCCTACACACACGGTGCTAGGCAGTGACACCCTACACACGGTGCTAGGCAGTGACACCCTACACACGGTGCTAGGCAGTGACACCCTACACACGGTGCTAGGCAGTGACACCCTACACACACACAGGGCTAGGCAGTGACACCCTACACACACACAGGGCTAGGCAGTGACACCCTACACATACGGTGCTAGGCAGTGACACCCTACACACACACACACGGGGCTAGGCAGTGACACCCTACACACACGGTGCTAGGCAGTGACACCCTACACACACACACGGTGCTAGGCAGTGACACCCTACACACACACACGGGGCTAGGCAGTGACACCCTACACACGGTGTGTCTGTTTACCCAACAGTAAAATGGGTACCCAGGTTGTTAAACGATATATATTATATATATATATATATATATATATATATATATATATATATATATATATATATATATATATATATATATATATATATATATATATATATATATATATTATTAAATATGACCGAAAAAGTAAGATTAATAATTCTAACACGAATTTTCTCAATCTTTCGTACATTACGCTTCACTGTTTAATTCTTTCAATTCTTTAAGATTAATTCTCCAAAATTCATTTTTATTTCTAGTCTGACGCGACACGGGCGCGTTTCGTAAAACTTATTACATTTTCAAAGACTTTAGTTCACAAATACACGACTGATTAGAACTTACGTATCTCCAATTTTATATCTACATTTGAGTGAGGTGGGAGGGGTGATGTGGCATTAACACAAGACAGAACAAGAGGGGATATTAATAGGGTATTAAAAGTATCAACACAAGACAGAACACAAACAATGGGTATTGAATAGAAGTGTTTGTAGAAAGCCTATTGGTCCATATTTCTTGATGCTTCTATATTGGAGCGGAGTCTTGAGGTGGGTAGAATATAGTTGTGCAATAATTGGCTGTTGATTGCTGGTGTTGACTTCTTGATGTGTAGTGCCTCGCAAACGTCAAGCCGCCTGCTATCGCTGTATCTATCGATGATTTCTGTGTTGTTTACTAGGATTTCTCTGGCGATGGTTTGGTTGTGGAAAGAGATTATATGTTCCTTAATGGAGCCCTGTTGCTTATGCATCGTTAAACGCCTAGAAAGAGATGTTGTTGTCTTGTCTATATACTGGGTTTTTTGGAGCTTACAGTCCCCAAATGGGCATTTGAAGGCATAGACGACGTTAGTCTCTTTTAAAGCGTTCTGTTTTGTGTCTGGAGAGTTTCTCATGAGAAGGCTGGCCGTTTTTCTGGTTTTATAGTAAATCGTCAGTTGTATCCTCTGATTTTTGTCTGTAGGGATAACGTTTCTATTAACAATATCTTTCAGGACCCTTTCCTCCGTTTTATGAGCTGTGGAAAAGAAGTTCCTGTAAAATAGTCTAATAGGGGGTATAGGTGTTGTGTTAGTTGTCTCTTCAGAGGTTGCATGGCTTTTCACTTTCCTTCTTATGATGTCTTCGATGAAACCATTGGAGAAGCCGTTATTGACTAGGACCTGCCTTACCCTACAGGGGTAAGGCAGATACACTAAGATACACTAAGATACACTTAGATACACTTAGTTTCTACACTAAGGAAACAAACATAGGAATGTGCCTAAATGCCAACAGCGACTGCCCTGACTTGCCAAGTCTTCGTCGACTTGCTTCCATTCTGAGCTGTGGCTGAGAGCACGGTCGACATATGCGTTAACAACACTCCTCTTGTACCTGTCAGGGCAGTCGCTGTTGGCATTTAGGCACATTCCTATGTTTGAAGGTAATTAAGCCAGGTCTTTAAGGTTCCATGTACAGTGTTTTCTCTGATATAGCTTGTCATATATAGGAATCTGGCTTTACAGCTAGCGCCCTTTTGACAGGTCAAGACGAGGAAGCATGCTTTGTGCATCAGTTACCAGGGTGATGGAAGCTACCTCAAAGAGGGAAAATGTGGTGTCTACATCCTGGTTATACCTGGTGGATTAAGGTCTGCTGTACTATAAGATAAGGAACCTCTTCAATGTATGTAGTCTAATACTGTAGTTTGATTGGCTGCATATATATTCAATTAATATAAACCCCCCCCCCCTAATGTGTAGAGGATCGATTTGTGAGATTATGAGATTATTGCAGAAATACAGTCCACTCATTATCATACAAATTGCTATCGAAGTATATAAATTAACGTAAATATAAATTCATATAAATTAAATAAATATAAATCTCACAGGTCGGCTCCCACAAAGGTCGCCTGGTTTACTGCCATCTCTCCTAGTGCAGTGACCTCTCCTCGTTCTGTTGTGAAGACCTCCTGGAACCTCTTGTTGAGTTCTTTACACACCTTTTGTCATTCTCTGTATACCTGTCCTCACCCGTTCTAAGTTTCATCACCTATTCTTTCACTGTTTTCTTCTTCTTGATGTGACTATGGAGTAGCTTTGGTTCGGTCTTGGCTTTATTTGTTATATAATTTTCATACTTTTTCTCAGCTTCTTTTCTCTCACTAACATACTCATTCCTGGTTCTCTGGTATCTCTCTCTGCTTTCTGGTGTTACCTTGAGGTTACCTTGAGGTGCTTCCGGGGCTTAGCGTCCCCGCGGCTCGGTCGTCGACCAGGCCTCCAGGTATTCTATTATTTCGGAAATTCCTCCACGCCCTTTTGTCCAGTTCCTTAGCTGAGGAACTGAGGAAATACATGCCCCATTAAACCACGGATTCTTCTTTTGCTTATCAGATTTTTCCTTTTGGGCCGGGATAAAGCTGTTTACTGCCTCCTGACACTTTTGGGTGACATAGTTCATCATGTTTTGTATGGTCTTGGCAGTGAGTTCTGTGTCCCATGGTATATCCCTCAGGAAACTTCTCATCTCCTCATAATTCCCCCTTCCGGTACGCCAGCCCCTTTGTTTCCTAGTTCTTTTTTTTGGGGGGGGGAGATAAATCCTAGCTCTACCAGGAACTCAATGATCAATACACTGTGATCACTAATTCCCAAGGGGGCTTCCAACTTAACTTTCCCGACTAAGTTTTTGTGTCTTTTTGCACTGGTCGACCCGGTCTCTTTGCAAGGCTATATATGTTTGTCTCTGTCTAGCAGCCTAGTGTGAAATATTAAAAATATAATAGATTCCCTTTGGCTTTGAGAAAAGGACAGAACTTGAAAAAGCCTCTGAGGCTGTGGGATGACAATTGAGGGGTCTGATCCTTGACAAGTCTGTCCTTGTCGAGGCCACTACAGTAGGCGTCAAGTAAATTCAGGTAAAATCATATGTAATATGCTGCTATGGGAAGAACAGTATTAGAAAATTTCTGATTATTTTCCTGAGATCAGTGCATAATTTTTCCTATATGAAAATATAGTTTTGAAATGTAAATTCTTCAAATATTTAGCCAGACATATCTTGCGAACAATTCTTAAAAACAGTCATGTGGGATTAGTATGTCACCGTGACACACTTAACTTTTGAATTCTGGCGACCCCAATCAGCATATGCCTCTCCCGTACCCCAGGCCATATCCCTGCGAAGTTGTGAGGCAAGCACCAGGTGTCTGGCCTCCATTCTTAGACAAAAAGACATTCTCATTTATGATGTTTTTTTTAGTCTGCCCAAGGTTAGAAAACAGACCCTTGGGGCAAACCTCATTAAACTTTACAGGGTGACTGGTGGGTGTGGAGGAACTGTCACAGGCGGGTTGGGGTCAGCCCTATTGCCTCCTTTTTAAGAGGAGTCGGACCAAATGTTACCCTTTTTGAAGTCGGCGGGGATGAAATACTCGGTGTCGAGTCTGCAGAGTTCTATATTCATTATACAGAATTCCGATATTGACATGTTGAATGCATGCTCCGGTAGCATGTTTGCATTCACGGGGGAGCTCCCAATACCAATACTTGAATGGCACGATGTTACGGGGTCGACCCGAGCACCACGTACGGTGCGACCCGACCCGACCCGAGCACCACGTACTGTGCGACCCGACCCGAGCACCACGTACGGTGCGACCCGACCCGACCCGAGCACCACGTACGGTGTGACCCGACCCGAGCACCACGTACTGTGCGACCCGACCCGAGCACCACGTACGGTGCGACCCGACCCGACCCGAGCACCACGTACGGTGTGACCCGACCCGAGCACCACGTACTGTGCGACCCGACCCGAGCACCACGTACGGTGCGACCCGACCCGAGCACCACGTACGGTGCGACCCGACCCGAGCACCACGTACGGTGCGACCCGACCCGAGCACCTCGTACGGTGCGACCCGACCCGAGCACCACGTACGGTCCCTGATCGAAAATCTAATGAAGCTAAGATGGAAATAGATTTGTCTAAGTATATGATTACAAACTAATATACCAATTCTGTAACTATCCTAGCTAAAGGAATATTGAGGTTCAGTTCCTTTATACACTGCATACCTGCAACATCCCTTACCCCCCCCCCCCCACCACACAGGATGGATACACGGGCTGAATAATTAAATAAACAATCATGCATATACAAATAAATCCTTCCAGATGGGTGTTTGCCTCCACATAAACAAAAACATGCGCGTACCAGCTACACTGTGAATGGAGGATAAAGGAGGAAGAAAGATGACGGGGAAGAAGAGAGACGAAGGGAAAGGCGAACACAGAGGAAGAGAAGTACTGGATGAAGCAAATATAGTGAAGGAATAGGGGAAAGGAAGAGAACGGAAGAGAAGCACGCGGAGGACGGTAGACGAGGTGAAATGAAATGAGAGAAACGAAAATGGCGATAAGGAAAACAAAGCGAAATTAGGGAATGGAAGTAAAATCCAGAGCGAGAAAACGGAAACAAGAGAAGAACAGCGGCTTCTCAGCGGACTCCCTCGACCGTCACGCCGCGCCCGCCACACTCTCTATAATCTAGTTTAATTGGACAATTCATGACGGCATACTCATGCTGTGGTCGCTGGTGGGAATGTTAGCGATGCAAAATCGGTTTAGTACAAAGTTAAACAATTTATATTTGTGATAAAAATCAAATTTAGGTCATGTGTCATGAACCCCACAACCATCCAATATTGTCATGACCTCCACAACCATCCAATATTGTGTCATGAACCCCACAACCATCCAATATTGTGTCATGAACCCCACAGCCATCCAATAATGTGTCATGAACCCCACAACCATCCAATAATATCATGAACCCCACAACCATCCAATAATGTCATGAACCCCACAACCATCCAATAATGTCATGAACCCCACAACCATCCAATAATGTCATGAACCCCACAACCATCCAATAATGTGTCATGAACCCCACAACCATCCAATAATGTGTCATGAGTCTAACAGTCTCCGTGGTGTAGTGGTAAGACACTCGCCTGGCGTTCCGCGAGCGCTATGTCATGGGTTCGTATCCTGGCCGGGGAGGATTTACTGGGCGCAATTCCTTAACTGTAGCCTCTGTTTAACGCAACAGTAAAATGTGTACTTGGATGAAAAAACGATTCTTCGCGGCAGGGGATCGTATTCCAGGGACCTGCCCGAAACGCTACGCGTACTAGTGGCTGTACAAGAATGTAACAACTCTTGTATATATCTCAAAAAAAAAAAAAGAAAAGAAAAATGAACCCCACAACCATCCAATAATGTGTCATGAACCCCACAAAAAAATCCATGGGCATGAAGAGCAACGTCTAACTCTCCTGTAGACATTAATACAAAAGTTCCACCGCCACCAACACCACAAAGAACATCTCTGCCAATACCTTTTTTTTTTTCCATTTCAATCACTAAATTAATTTTTTTTAATTCACAGAAAATGGCAGTGCTCCGATTTGTTCGTTCCCGGGTGATTGGTGTAGTAGCGGTGGTGTTGCTGCTTGCTGACTTGTGTAAGTGTGCGCTGACTGCGCTTCCACTCCGCGTCCTCTCACTCTTGTATATTATTCTGTCATAGACGAGGTTTCATGACCGACATGTTCCAATAAACAGTAGGTTATGTTTATTGCAATGCTCCCTTTAACAGAGAGGGAGAGACGGAGAGGGAAGAAGGGATGGAATTCGACCCTCTCTACGGAGGAAGGCAAACGTAATTTTAGTCCACAGAGTTGTTCAGTAGTCAGTAACTACACTAATGTCACTGCTTTCAGTTATTGGCAAAGTTCTTAAGACATTATCTCAGTAAATTACATTTTTTGACCAAGAGTTACTGTGTGGTCGACAGTTTGGTCTAAGGAAAGACTGTACTGCTCATCTCTAGCAGAATCTCTCCATTAAGTGGCACCAGTCGCTGCCTGACTGAAATTGCCACTACTGAGTAGCCTTATTGAAAGCAGCTGTGTAGTTGCTCTGGACAGTGCAGCTGCCCTCCCACCACAATCCTGTATGTGGCCTCTCCCACCACTCCCTCTCATGGTTCTGGTCTTCTTCCACTGCAGCACTAGCGAGCGGCATCAGCTGCTACAAGTGCTCCTCCAAGAACGGCAGCGACATCAATTGTGACGACCCTTTCCACCCGGCGCACTCCAAGTTCGAGGATGACTGCCACGTCCCCAAGGAACGCCACATCGGGCAGTTCCCCGCTAACTTCTGCGTCAAGATCGTCGGTACCTCAGGTTAGTCAGCGGCCCATTGAGACCATCCCGACGACCCCTCCAAGTACACCGACGACAGCTACGAATAACCTGACTACCAATACGACTATCCCGACATCGACGACAACCACGACGAAGAAGAAATGAGTTGTTCAAGACTCATATTCGCATGTCTTTCGAATACATTTAATCCATTAGCCCCAGAGGGTTCATAGTAAGGATAAATTATTCCTCTGGTTGCAGCCTAATTCGTGTTTAATACATACGACAACCACACAATATACGACACAACCACACGGCCACAACACAGCCTTACACCACATCTCACCTGAACCACCACGACAAACGATTCTACTAACGCCCAGTTCCCTTCGCCTGGCAGCTGTGACCGGAGAGTCGCTGATGATCAGGACGTGTGTGCTGGAAAACATGGACTCCCAGTGCGGGGTCTTCAAGTTTGGCGGGGAGCAGCTGACTGGCTGCATCCTCACCTGCACCTATGACGGCTGCAACTCCGCTCCCAGGGGGTCTCATCCACGTATTCTCCTCATCCTTACCCCGGTGGCATTTCTCATCCACCTGTTGCGTTGATCATCCGGCCGTTGTCTTCATCATCTAATCACTTTCTTCATCCACAACAATTGTTGATCATCCAACCGCTGTTGGGATCATCCGGCTACTGTCTTGATCATCCTGAACAATTGTTGATCATCTGGCCAGTCTTCATCATCGGGATCCTGTGTTGATAATGAGGCCACTGTGTTGATCTGGGCCTTGTCTTACTGGGACAGTCATCCAAGTGCCAAAGGGACAGTCATCCACCTGTTTCTGGAGTAATTCAAAGCCCATCAGAGCCCAGTTTTAAGAACTCAGTACAGTATTTTAACTTCACGCCACGTTGTTGAGATTTTTCCTGTCATATGAAGCTTGGATAAAAATAATAAATCTGTTGTAAATGTATTGGTAATATTTGATTCTAACACGCAAGGTATGCACACTATCAGACCAATTTTGACCTGCTCTTTTCCATCTATAAAATGGTGCAGAATTGTCTGCATTGCTTTAATATATCAGCATCTGGGCAGCTATTATTTTGCCTTCAACACCACCCACTTTCGCTACAAGAACATCGTGTATAAAATATTGTACGTTAGACATTTTCTTAAATCTTTATAAGTAAAATTTTAATATTTTAAGATGTTTAGATCAACTGAAGCCTGTAAGATATCCTGAATTACATTAAAAAACACTGATCGAATCTGACTAGGCTAGTGCTGCGACCCTGGCGGAAGTAGCCTAGTACCCCTGAAGTCATCCACTGGAAAAAAATCCCGTCACCAAGTGAAGACCAATACCAGTTGAATAAATGAATGACGTTATGAGAAAATATCACATGATGATATTATCAGAGGTGTGGAATAACGACATCTTGACGTCGCTGTCATTCGCTTAATGCCCGTTTTCGTTGCAATCACTATTTTTGTCTATAGCATTGTTTGACCTTTAAAAGAACCTTTATTATTGCATTACTGGTTACCAATGTAAACTGCAATGTTTACAACTGCCATAAATGCGTTAGCAAATAACTGGTTTATACGACCTTCTCATTTTAAATAATCATGATAAATTATACTCCAATTATGTCATGAACCCCACTTCTTGTGATGGCATCCACAAGAAACTTATTATAGCGACGCTATCACCACTTGCAATGAGAAAATCAACTGGAGAAATGAAGGGATTCGAATCTTCAACTTGGGTACTGCAAGCCGAACACCTTACCTCTGGACCACGACATGGTACAAGTTGTATATCCTGGAATTCCACCAAATCTACAGGACGTCTACTGAAGCCAGTTCAGATTTTACATATAACCCTCACACACTCTGGTATAGATAATGGAGTTCTTCCACCATACTACAGTTTAAACCTATTGTCTTATGTATGACCCTCTGTCCTGTGTGACAGTGAATACCAGCATTATCCTCACTTTAATTAGACTTAATTGAAATCCTCAGATTAGGGAAAATTGTAATTAAATTGTCAATGAAGATGTTAATAATAATTCCACCATACGCTCCTGCTTCAGTCTCCAGACGTTCTGTGGATTCAGTGAAATCTCAGGTTTAATCCGCTCTATCACGTCATGGTCCAAGGGTAAGGTACGCGGTTTGACAGTACCCAGATTGAGGGCAAGTAAGAAATGTATATATTTATCGCTCAATGTCCCGTAATATGTTAATTGTTTGTGATGTGTCATTTTTAAAACGATGAATCAACACGCTGTACTGAACGGGGTGAGAATAGCTTGAGCAACCTCATCCCTTTGTGTGTATTTATACCTCGATAAACTTATTTGAATTTGAGGTCGAGGGTTCGATGCTCATTTCTCTAATTGATTTTCTCACCGATATATCACGGTGGGATTTCTTTGTGTCCCCACTTGTGGTGTTAATATTGGGTCTTTTATGCCGGCATGTTAATTGGAAACTTATAAATTTCTCGTGCATATTAGATTTTACTGTTTTTCATTGTAACAGTTAACTTTAGCGTAATGCTAAGTTAGCTCGTAAATGCTGCAGCATTTTCCCGCGTCCAAAATATCAGTCCACCGACTGATAGCCTCAACAACAGCCTTTGTAATTCGTGATTTAAAAACGATGAATCAACTGGTGTTTCAGACGAGCATTACAAACACCATAAATGATGAGGCGCCACGTCAGGTGTGGCGTCACCCAGCTGGCGCCACACCTGACCCAGCTGGCGCCACACCTGACCCAGCTGGCGTCACGTTGAAGCCAACCGCTGAACGATGTTCCCCCTCAAGTGTGTAGCGAGACGTCTCCCTTAGTTGTGTGAAAACGTCTAGAAAATTTCTCTAATTACATCTGGTTGTGTTTCGTAGGAGAGATGATATCTTGAGCAATACCTCACCTGTGGTATCACCAATCTTCTCACCTGTGACAATGTCGGTAGTAACAAAGACCCACAACAACACGCCTGCCACCATTCCCTTGATTTGGTACTCCAATCTAAGAATATCGTCGTGCCGTTAAGTATATCGCCGTCTTTAAATATGTGCACCAAACAGTATAGTTATAAAGCCATTTTAATTTTTTTTTCCACATTTCCGATAAGGTTCTAGTTCTGATACCTTATAGGAATTATTCCCAATGTGTGTTCTTATGTTGACCCTTAAGTCCATCAAAAGCTTAATTGCCATTGAGGAATGTTAGTAAGTTGCCAGCTGTTTTGTTTTGCTTAGAACTGTTGGCAAGTTGAAGTACTTCAGCTCGGTCTTTAATAATAATAATAATAGGATTCTCTGTCTAGGAGGATGAACGATCCTCTTTAATTATAATGACCAGTAACGACACTGACAAGATCGCTATAAAAGTGGTCCACTGATGTTGGTGTATACCCAGTGTACCAGTGTACCACTTGTGAATGTAAGCCTTGAAATGCAGTTTAAGATTGACTGGAATTTTTATTTTAACCCCAGAATGGGGTCTGGACGAATTATCCACAACAATGTACTACTGTACATATTGCAATATGATCACTTACTAGTTCTGGAGCAAGCCTAACTTTAATGTTATCTGCTAGGCTATACGCAACATAATCCAGCCCACACCACAATAAACGGCCTTGGCTGTATCAGTCACAACAATGTTATGATCATCAAGGTATTTCAAGAAGGCCTTTTCATTGTTACACTGACCATCACCAAGAGCTGTGTGACGAGCAACGTCACTCGTACATATCATAGCTGTGTTACCTGTAGGCTTTGGTAGCGTCCGATTTATGTACAGTACATCGTGCATATATATTGTACACTAGGAAATGGCCATTTGTTTTCGTAATTAAAATTGATAACATATACCATCACTCTCGTGTAACCGACTTGGGCTGGACCGTAGAGCGACGGCCTCGCTTCAATCCCCGACAGTCCAAGTGGTTGTGCACCATTCCTCCCCCCCCCTCTCATCCCAAACCCTTATCCTGATCCCTTCCAAGAGCTATATAGTCGTAATGACTTGGGGCTTTCTCCTGATAGTTCCGTTCCCTTCTTGTGGTTTTCTATTAATAGATTAATCCACTTTTATGTAAGTACTGTAAGCCAGTTTCAGTATTATTGTTGTATATTATATACCCAGGTATCTTGGAGGAACTTTCTTGGTAGTTGTGGACGCATGCAACTCCTGTAAATAAATCACATTCATGTCTTATTTTATCATTTTCGAGACTATAATTCATCCTAATATATTATACTTATATGGACACTTCTGATGTCCAAGCATTAAATTTAATTGCCTTTGTTGAGCCGGGTTTGAGTAGCAAGGTGACGAAGGCAATATTTAAGTTCATTAAACAATTAGACAACATTTTTGACGAGTTTCCCCAGTAATGTTACTTTTAGCTACGATGCGTTTAACCGTTTTGGGTCCTCTGGTAGGTTAGGACACTTGAAACCGACCGTTTTCTTCACGTTGGGAAACCTTAGGAGGACGGGCTGATTTGAGAGCGCACCAGAGATTTGTACACTTTAATAACCATTGTCTTTTTCTTAACGTCAAAGTTCGTTTGACTATTCCTAATTGCTGTTGTTATAGATTCAGCTACTTGGAACCCTTGGAACAAGTTCCAAGTAGCACGGGCTATGGTGAGCCCGTAACTTATCTGGCACAGGAGCGGGGCAAATAGCACGGGCCATGGTGAGCCCGTAGTGGACTTACCTGGCACAGGAGCGGTGCCGTCTTGTGTATTCCTAAGGTCGATTGATTGATAAAAATTAAGCCACCCAAAAGGTGGCACGGGCATGAATAGCCCGTAAGTGGTGGCCCTTTTGAGCCATTACCAGTATCAAGAGCTGATACTGGAGATCTGTGGAGGTGCGACTGCACCCTGCGTGACGGGAGATGTCTCCCGTGTCCTAAGGTCTTGTTGGCTCTTTATTTATTCCTTCCCCCCGTTCTATCCCAAAACCTTATCCTGATCCCTTCCCAGTGCTATATAGTCGTAATGGCTTGGCGCTGTCCACTGATAATTCCTTCCTTCCTTTCCTTGTCGTACAACTTGGTGGATGGTGCAGCCTAACTCTCATGTCCACATTTTATCAATTTGCTGCAAAATATTTAGTGCTATTGATATGAGAGTTGTGATGTGCATTATTTTGCCCGTTATGCAACTAGGCTTAATGAAAATAAGATTTATTATTTATAAGATTATTTATAAGATTTATAAGAAAATCCCACATTATGAAAAAATAAGTTTAGTTCTCTTTTTACAATACAGTATTATCATCATTCATATTGTGGGTTTTTTGCTGCATTTCAAGTGTGATATTTGATTTATATTAAATATTTCAGGTTTATGTTACATAATATTTAAAATTTGAAATAATTTAAAGTTTGCAGATACTGTATAAACATTTAATATAATGGTATATTAACTTAAAAATAAAAACCTCTATGTGATCACTATATAACTATTAAAAATGCAATTATTGCATTATAAAACTATTAGACAATAGTTTTGTGTGAATGTTATGTCAGTCTTCACGACACCATGCTCTCTGTAGTGTGTATATTATATTATATATTTTATATTATATTAAATATTATATTATATATTATTATATTATATATTATTATATAATATTATATTTATTATATTATATATTATATATTATATATTATATATGCGTTCTATGGATGCTGTTATGTTGGCAGTCCTTCAGTTTATTCGCTTGTCTCTTGCCCTCAAACTTAGATGAATAACAATATAATTTTTGTATCAGTGTTTCCTAGTTCGTGGGTGTGGTCAGCTGTTTGGGAGTGACTGTGGTCAGTGAGGACAATGTAAATATTTCTGTATGTTGGTTATTGTGGCAAACTCTTGTGTGATTTATACAAAATATACATGACAACCTCTTAGTTTTATTGAATACCATGATCTAC